AATGTGCAAATGCCTGTGTGCATTCAACATGAGTTAGTCATAACACAAGTGTGAGGGAACATAAGTAATAGAGTATGATAATACTGCAAATAGTATGGACTTAGTAATGAGGTTAGTATGAAGATGTATAAAGTAAATATAACTTGTAAAGGGAGAAGTGAGATCCAGATAGAAAAGATTAAATTGACTAAGGTCACTCTAGACTCGCTTTAATTTATGTTGGTTGTCAAAGTGTACAGCCAAAGTTGATTTAACAGTTGGTGAATACGATTTTGTTGATTTATATTCTGAGTTTAAATTGGAAGCTGAAACTGGTTCATGAAGAACCCTATTCCAGAGTGTGTTCCCTGCTACCCTAGTGGTACAGATGATGGTAATGTTCATGGTCTGGTTCTTCTCCTTGTGGGTTTATTCAGTCTGTTGAATGTTGTACTTTTACAGGAGAAAAAAGGAAAAACAAGGTGGAAGTGTTCATTCTGAAGATATATGAACTTCTCCAGGCTACTTTGGTTCTCTAGAGAGACATGAAGTGCTAAACTGTTTAACATCTGGGAGCATCTGTCCTTGTAGTCCAGCCTGTGGATTAACTGAGTGCTAAACTCCCATCCCATTTTCATATAAATTTAGAGAATGAACAGAAAGTGCTTAACTGTTTTGACCCAGTCTAATTTTAGAACGGTAGGATATGTAACCAAATGCTAGATATATTTTAAAGTATACATATGCATATGTGAAAAAAAATTACTTCTTTTTCATCAGACCCTAATTATGTAACAACTGAACTTTTTTAGTTCAAGACAATGTAGTTCAGGAAAACTAGTTAATTTAACAGTTCTGGGAAAGCTTCAGAATTATTTATTTATGTAAAAAGACTAGAATTTAACTTCTATAAATTAATTAGTTTTAAATATTCAATTAGATGAAGTATTGTAGTCTAATCCCATGATAATTCAGTCTCCCTTTCTACGAGTATGACAAACATCTAAAATGGGACATTCCATTTCTGGGAATATCTGTAGCTCAATGTTCTGTTTTGTTTTTCTGTTCATAGTTTTACATTAATTTTTTGATGGTAGAAAATGACAGAGGAGTTTTACCTGTTACTTTTTTTCATGTTAAGATAGTTCTGAAGTAGTTTCCATTTTATTCTTTTTCTTGGATAACCAGGTGTTGTCTTCTAACAGGAAATTTTAGATCACTTCTAAGAAGTATGTCAAGGACATTAACTTACTGAAGATGTCTATTTGTTGCAACGCTGCAAAGATTTTAAAGTCTATAGTCAGCCTAAAGTCTTTCATCCACTGATACTGTTAGGAGTAAGTAACAATAGTTGAGCAATTTTTTATATTTGCTAGAGGATACAGAAATTGAGAGAATGGATAAGCAAGCATACTATCCCTCCTATCAGTGTTAGGCATAGATTGTTCCGCAATATTTCAGTTCTTGTTCTGAGATATATTTCTACAATGACAGTTTCCTATGCTTTACAAAATTATCTTTCTTAATAACACCAAATTATTTGTTTGATGAGGTACTATTTGATATTAAGCATTGTTTAGAACATTTGACAATGTAATGCTTATTCATATCTGTATTTTCAGTGTTGAAATTCGTAATAGCATAGAAAGCATCACCTCTGTTAGTCTGTAATTTTTACATTCGGGAAGGTTTTTGGGTTTTGTGTGAATATTAAAAACCAGTAACTTATGCTATCTTTTATTTTTAAGGAAGATGCGTGATATTGCTGAATTCAGTGCCTGTGTGACTACTTCTTTGTGGCATGTCTAGTTCTATAATAGTTTGGTATCTTTTATGTAAGGTAAATGAGTGGTAGTAATACTGAGAGAATTGTCAAGGAGACAAGACAAATTTGAGCTGCTAGGAAGTGGACATACCTGTTGCATCAACACTGCAAGATTTTTAATTGATGTGGAGAAATCACCAAAATTTATTTTTGGATGATCACTTTCATAAATGCCCATTTTCAGAAGTGTAATCATGAATGCATAATCATATCACGATGCCCTTCTAACAGTTTATCTGGTTACAACAAGGTTAATTCACTAAGGACTTATTGTTTACATACCTTTCTCTTATACTTGGTGTCCAGAAATTTGTGTTAAGTGCCTAAACTCCTTTTGCAACACACTGGAAAAGGTCAGGGTATGAGAAAGATGCCCAACACAATGAGCTAAGACAGCTCTTAGATTTTTATTGTGTTTATATATATTCGTATATATATATATGTGTATATATATTTTTATATATATTTGTATATATATATAAAATATATAAAAACTGTGGCTATCATCTTCTAACATAGTATGATAGCTAATAAATACATCTACTAAACTCATCTAAACCAGTTCCCTTTTGTTATATGTTTTTCTACATATTTTTTTTCTGTTAATGGGTAAATCTGATTGGCCTATCTGTTGGGTAAATGTATTTTTAAAAATATTATTTGTGATTTGAACTTTTTTTCTCTTGCATGGTAAAAATATAATCAAGTTGTTTATATAACCTATATCCATTGAGTAACATACATAGCATGTTTCAACAGCAATAGGATTTTCCTTGTTGGAAGAAAACAGACACTTTATTGTCTGTTTATTTCATTATTGTGTTTCACATATTATTTTAAATTTTTTTAATTAATTTTTTTCCTAGAACAGGTTTGCTGGGAAAAAAAGCCATTGACTATTTGCAATGTTCTAATTGTGGCTAAGCAGCAAGAGAGACAGTCAACACTTGAGATGTGTTATTTCGACCTGTAAATATACTCACCTGTATTTCATTTTTTAATCTGCCATTGGCTTTCTGGTTTAAATAAGTGTCTGTTTAAATCATAGAATAACAGAATCATTATGGATGGAAAAATCCTCTATGATCGAGTCCAACAATTAATGTAATGGTGACACTTTCAGTTTTTAGAACCCTTCTACCCAAATCTTTCCTAAGATCCTTAAGATTTTTTCACTGATTCCAGAAGAAAGAACAGATGGGATAAAGTTCTTCTCCAATAATTTCCTGATCATCCCTTTTTACAAATGTGTATTTAGATCCAGAATACCACATAAACATGAAGCCAATTCTGCAGTCCCATTGCAAAATTTATTTCTGTTGAAACTGCTAGTTTCACTTCTGCAGGACACAGAGACTCTCTTGACCCCACTGTTATGAAAGAGCGTATTATTTCTCCTTCTAAATTAGAAAACCTTCCTAGAATGTGCTCTTAGATGTAATTGGCTGTTTGTGGTAGTTCATTCAAATACAGGTCTATTTAAGGAGTTTTAAAGTCTGCTTTATTGGGACCCTGTGGCTTTTACAGCACATTAGACCTAAATGAAGCAACAAAGGGACCCTTCTCTCCATTTATTTCCAACTGTCCTTTCCAGGCTAGGTGGCATCATCCTGCCTTTAGAATTATTTATGTATCTCCCTCATTATTTTATAATGTATTTTAATGTGACAGGTCTCCGTTCTCTGGCACCATGTGAGTAATCGTGGGTAGAGCAGGCAGAGATTTTTAGTAATCAGAAGAATAGAAAATGATTTTTGTTTTCAGGTATTCATGTTTGCTGTCATGAAATAGGGGCTGCATTTTCATAACCTCTACGTTGAGAAGAAAGGGAAGAAATTCCTTATATAGGAAATGAGATTTATTTTTTTGCTTGTGAGCTCAGCAAAATACCATATTTTTAGCCAAGCTGAAGTGATGATGGATACCAACTAATAAAGCTAAAATTGTCATTTGGTAGAAGTTTTACTATATTTTAAGATGAAGAGTTATGTTATGCCTTCCTCAATCACTTGTGAGCACCTCTGAGACTTAGTTCAACATTTTAAAGAATATTTTACCAAGTTTAATGTATAGGCACTTCAGACTAGATAATAAGTGTGGTGTGGAGAATTCTGGGATGGGCTAAAAGTTTAGCCTAGGGTAGGACAATGGTGGGTCGTAGGGATACTGTGTGATCCTTTGTTGGGAGACCAAGGTCTAGGTGATGTTTAGCATAGAATAAAGCAGAATAAGTTCTTCTGTATTCTGGTTGTACCTTTGAGAGGAGGGAGCCCTCAGTAGCTACAGTCTGGGCTGATCTGGATGGCAGCTTTTATTACCATACCTGTGCAGAAAAGTGTTCAGCACCAGTGGTGCTTGGAAGGAGAAGGTGGAAGGCAGAGCTGGGGCCAATGGGGGTGCTGACTCTTCCAGCAACTGCTTCTTGAAAACAAAACTTGGGAAAATCCTCTAAACTCACTGATGTAGCAGTAAAAGTTATAGAAAGAATTACGGGAATGAGCAAAACTCTCTGTGGCTGGTATTTAGTTATGGCATTATGATCTTGGGGCACATTGCTGTGCTCTAAGAATGGCTTGCAGTGAGATGACTTGCATAAGGGTCACTAACGGCTGCTGGCACCTCTTCTCCAAATTTGTATTTTCCCTCAACACTACCTGAGGGTTGAGGCTGAGAGGGCTTCACTAACGGCAGCCTTAGCAATGAGGCTGAGGTGACCAGCACATGGGGGCCCAGATAAGAAAGGTGTGGAGGGAACACTGTGGTGCAATGCTGTGTTCCCTTTGGCATGCCTTTTGCAGCCCCAGTGTCCCTGGGGCTGTAGGCTTTGTAGCTCTTGGAACTACCTCTTACTACTACCCAAGCACAGAACTCGAAGCAGAACTGCAAACTGAGCATATTGTATGGATCACTGACTGGATCGTAATTTCTAATTACTGATTTGACTTAAATTAATTCAGAGCTCTATCACCTTCTAAAACTCTGTATTCTATGAAATGTATTGATATTAAATAACTGGTATTAGGAAACGTGATTCCTCTTTATGTTTTGCATGGATGTGATGAGAGTTCTCTGTAATTGTTATGATTTTAAAAATATAACTTACAAAATTCTTCTGTGTATATGTTTGCGTATATGTTTGTACATATATATGTGTTCGCAAGGGAAGTCTTCAGGCTGTTTATCTTTTCTTTTGCAGTCAAAACCTGTTGCATTTGCAGTTCGGACAAATGTGGGGTACAGTGCAGCTCATGATGACGATGTTCCAGTCCCAGGCATGGCCATCTCATTTGAGGCTAAAGATTTTCTTCATGTTAAAGAAGTAAGTAAAACCAGAGGAGTAAGTGAATCTCTCTTAAGGGTATATTTGAGTAACAGTGCTACTATTTCACAATGTTGATAACACTTCACATTGCTAAAGCACTTTTCAAATGTTATTTAAATCAGATAACAGTGTATAAGGAATTGAATGTTCTTTTAAATGTTATCCTCCTAGAAGCAAAGACACAAATTTCTTAAAATCAAATTAATGAAGTTCAGAAAGCAAGCACATTTCTTATCTAGTAAAAATCCTTTATTTACAGCTTTAAAAGTCTGTGTCTGACTATTCAAAGATAAAATATTTGTGGGTTTTTTTCTAATCTAGTACTATGAGGGTTCATTGTAATTCAGCAGCCCAGGGTCGCTTCTCTTTTGTTTGTGTGATTGCATCTCAATTAACCCCAAAATCCTCAGGTCTCTTTTTTTTTCTTTGAAGCTACTTCCCTGGCACAGACAATATTTTGTTAACAGTTACATGCTGAAGAACTGGTATGATGTTTCAAGATGATAGCAACTTTCATAAAAGGTGCTTTGAGTTTGTTGCATTGGCTTTCTTTTCCTGTAGTTTGGCTTTGAAAAGTTTAACTTTTAACATTTTCAAACACCAAGTGTAATGTTGTTTCTTTGCTCCTTGCAAGACAATCCCAAAGAAATAACTTGGTAACTTTGCCATGCAGGCCCTCCTCTGCAGCGTGCTGCTCCTTCTGAACGATTCCCTCGTTTTTTGAGGTTCCCAGCTTCTACTCATATTCCATTGGGGTTTGTTTTCAAATGGTCTATCTGGAAATGGAAATTTATAACAAAAGAACTAGAAAGTTAACTTAAGGTTGATAGCAACCTAACCATGCATGTGAAATTATGTCTTTGCCCCATTTTAGACTATCAAAAAATCTGTCCATAGTTATGATAGATGATACACAGTGATTCTGGTAGTGCAGGTGCTTTGCAGAAGCAAGAAACATTCCTAATACAGAGATAGAAATACAGGTGGACAGAGACTACAGAAATACAAGAAATAGACTTTTAGTGCCTTCATACTGATGACTAATGGTCAAAATTTTCCATGTATAGTAAACATACAAAAAGGGGATACTTTTGGTTCAGATTGTATATAGTGAAGGAAATATGATTTCTGTCTGATGGTAGTGTGAAAGAATTGCTCTGTTCTGTCCTATGACAGAAGTAGAGATAAGAAGGCACAGAGTTCTGGCAAAAGAAAACCATCATCATTCTCCGGTGAGTCTTGAAGCACTGGAAAATATGGCTCAGTTTGGTTAGATCAAATGATTTTCTATAGTCATCTATTCCATCTGTACTTCACATGAAGTGGTAATCTCAGACTTTACATCAAGTGTTTTCCCTGTTTCCATATGAACCAGAAACACAGTGTTAGCAGTTTTCTGTTAAAGTTTATGCTGTTTTCCTCACAGCACAACTTAGTCTCAGATGTACAGATACATGGGAGAGCACCAGGATGAAAAAATTCTCTAAACTTTTCTGAATCTCCAAAAATACCTTGAAAGGAAGCTTAGCTCAGCTGAGTTGTTGTAATATCTGTGGCCACATGTAGCAGTGAGAGATGGAAAAATAGATTAAAATGTAGTTGCAGCCTCAGGCGTAATAGAAGAGGCACTCTGTGCTAATAGCCTTTAAAACTACCTGGTTTTCTCTCTAAGTTGTCAAGGAAAATTGGCTGCCTAGCAGTGCTAGGCCAGAGATGGGTTGGGGAAGGGACCCTGTTACTGGGTCCAAGTGCACCACTGGAATGGAAAAGCAGAAAAGGATCTGCAAGGAGTCAGACTTGGACTTGGACTCTCTGGTTCCATGTTTGGCAGCAGCTGTTGTGTCTGGATGGGTTGAACCTCCCCAGATGAGTGCTCCAAGCAGCAGCCCCTTCCCTGCATAGTTCTGTCCTCCTCCTCCATCTTCAATGGCCATGTCCTGCTTGCTCTTCAGGGCTCTGTATCCCAACAGATATTGCTCCTTCAGTAGTTTTGGTGCTCCCTGTAGTTAATGCTGGGAGAACTGAAATGTCCAAACCTCAGCGATTATGCAGATTGAAAGAAAAAAAACACATGTGACAATAAAATTAAGTATTGCTTTTATATTTTATACCTAACTTGTCACTAGAAATAAAGAAACCTAAGTTAATGTCTGATAAGTTTTGCCTGTGTAATGATGCCATACTGGACCAATGCTGTCCTCTTCTTGTCCCTGAGGACTGTTCACCAATTTCTGCTGCTGAGACGGCTCAAGAAAGAAAAAACTCAGTTCAAAATGTACATGGACAATGGTGAAAAGTATTGCAGTGATTACGTATGAGGGAAATTTATTTTCATTATTAGGTTACATTCATTAAAACTAAGTGGACATAAAGATGAAGGATTCCTTCCTGCATGAAGAAATGTGTGCTGCATCATGGTCACTTCTGAATATTTTGAGGCTTTAATTCATGGTCATAATTTTGCTTTGCATTTAATTCATATTTTGTGTTTCCCTTGGCACTCCAAGTCCAGGTGAATTACAGAGAATCACTCACCCTGGCCAGCACTTTGGGAGCTGGACACCTCACTGCCAAGATTTCCACTGTTGCTTTTTAAAATTAGAAAGTATTATGTATGGTATTATCTACTTATAAAAGTGTCTATACTCCTTTTCATATACTGACACAGCATTTAGCTTTGAGTCTTTCCAGAAGTGAATTCCACATGCTTTTATTTTTATATGAAGAAAAAATTCCTATGTATTTAATATTTCTATAACTTTGAATAAAATTAACGTTGTTGTGTAGTAATCTGTTGTACTGTAGGACAGCATAAAAAAATAGCAGCTGTTCAAATTGTAATTTAATGGTGGTTTTTAATTATATGTCTCCTCCTTTTACCAAGTTGATGATTTAGTTAGCATTTTGCAATGAAAGGTTATAATTTTAATAATATGTTTCAGTCTAATACATCTTTGAGAAACTGTTATTCCAGATTAGCTCCCTATTGAATGCTGGTATTTTTACTCATAAAGGCATCCCATTGGATGAATATTATAGATCTCCTCACATATTATGTGCTTAAAAGTGCTTTTATTTTAATCTCTATTTTTTTTGTTAGCTAAATATCTTACAGTTGGTTTCAAGCCTTGCAAGATTTCTATAGCTGCCAAAATGAAAGATAATACTGCAATTTAGGTTGTGTATCAATGATCCACCAATGATGTATTCGTGGTGAAATTAATTCCTTTCTGTGGGAGCCCGCACATTTTACATGTTTTATTCCTAACTGTACACTTGTTAAAGCTGCTTAATAAATAACTAAATGAGCACTATAATATTTACATTAAGAGCTTCAAATTCAAGAAGGCAACTTTTTTCACATTCAGATGTTCTTCTACAGTTTCATAAATAATCCAAATTATCTAAAATTTATATTTGGTGGTAGTTATTCCCAGGGAATCCTGAGAGTATTGCATGTGGGGCCATATAAAAGGGTGAACTATTCTCATCCAAAAATGGTGAATAAATAATAATGGAAAAAGCAAATAGTTCTGCTCTACAGACCTCTGCAAAATAAAAAATCTCCTCCCCAACCCCCTTGCGTGTGTATGAATAAATGTATTGAATTAGAGTAGTCATTATCTCATATTACATAGAGCTGAAATTCAGTTAGTTGGACTACTTGTGGATTTGTATAATTGTAAGGGTTTTTTAGTTATCTAAACATATCCATTCCTTCTGGATCTATCATAGGTTACGGTACAGATCACATGAGCTATATGCAGTAGAGCATATATGAGCAGCAGAATTTGGTCATATTTCAGAAGATTTTGGTGACTATGGAGGAGTGGGGGAGTTGGAGAAGTAGTATTTTTTAATTTGAATAGGGAACTGAATATAATGGAATAAAACCAATAAATTATTACAGAGTCATAAAAATTGTAGCAGTAGGTCAGAGTAGATCAGAAGAAGTCTCTGGTGTCCTCCAAGGAGAACCATGAAGGGAGAACAAAAGCAACTTTCCTGTATGAGGGAAAAATACTGGGAAGCAAGAAAAAATAAAGATGGTGAAATGAGTGGAAGCAAAAGCCAGAAAAAAACATGAAGTCTATGAAGGAAGGTTTCTGCTTAAGCACTGTGGATTTTAATAATTTAAAAGGAATAACTATTTTAATGTATTGCTGAATGTTACTGCAATTCTTCATTGCCATAATAGCATAGCAGAGTGATTAACTGCAGGGAAGAATTAAAGAAAAATGGCATAGCTGCAAATTAAAACTAATAACAAAATTATCCCAGATCTAGTAATTTCTTAGTATGTTACTTTTTTCTTTTTTTTTTTTTTCTAATCTGTAGAAATTTAATAATGACTGGTGGATAGGACGATTGGTAAAAGAAGGCTGTGAAATAGGATTCATACCAAGCCCAGTCAAACTAGAAAACATGAGGCTGCAGCATGAACAAAAGGCAAAACAAGGAAAATTCTACTCCAGGTAATAATAAGAAATCATTAAAAATAGTAGCATTGTCTGTGAAACAACTTGGAAATTAATGCTGTATATTGTTCGTATGTATGATTAATTATTGTAAATGGCAGTTACAAACACTTTGAAATAATGAAGGAATTAATATATAATTAGTTATACAGTATTATAGCGTATATAACATATTTTATATGTTAAATTATTAATTAATAAGATACATAATGTCGTTGCTATTTTAGAGAAAAAGTAGATATTTAGATTGTTGATCTGTGGTGGCCTACAATGGAAGTTGGTCCATTTTTTGCTAAACTATTTGCTAATATACCTTTCAGTTAGTACATTTACAATGTACATGCACAATTTTTGACTTAAAAAATAATTTATCTAAATTCTGTAGCATTTGTTACTTGCTATTTATAAGCCATTTTAAAGCTCATTTTAGAAATTAGAGAAAATGTTAAGATGAATTTATTTGTAAGCCAAAGCCAGTGCCCATTAGTTAGTTCTTAGGGGAAAAAATGGTCTTGTCAAATTCATTGCCTACAAATATAGCTTTTAAAACCACTACATTTTATGATGGAAGTTTCATGTCAAGTCATTTGTTATGTCTGACTGCAGCCATCATTGCATAAGACAGAAGAGTCAGGATCTATGTATTGAACAATACTGCAAGATAGTAATAATGCCATCTTTGCTGTAGAATTCTTAATAAACTAGCTTTCCAGTAACACATGTAGAAGCAAATACCAATTGTTAACCTGTAGGTATATAGGAAACAAATATTTCCAGTGTATCTGAGCGGGACAGACCTCGAATTGGACTAGGAACAATTTGGGAAACCAAAAGCATTTTGCTTTCCAAAAATGCCCTTCCTCAACAGGAAGGGCTGGAGTGTTTGAAGAGCATGTCTGTGTTAAGAGAACATCACGATTCCGCAGCACTCAGCTGCATTCACCAGCTGTGAAATGCCTTTCCCACGCGTGTGCTGTCCTCAGCAGAAGGATGCTGGGTTCCTTATTCCTCTTGGGACACTTCTGATACACCCAGATCTGTCCCAGTGATTTGGTCCTTTTCCAAATTCTCCAGAACTTCTTACCGAAGATAACATTGTCCTACACCACAAAGGCATTAACTTAATGCTTATTAATATTTTAAAATAGAGAAAGTGGAAACTAGTACTATCACATGAATTATTTGAAGAGTGAAGTAGGCTTCCTTACATATTTTTCAGGGCTTTTCTCATTATGGTAACTGAAATAAATGACTAAAAGTACTGTTTGATTTTCATAACTTGAGCAGGTTTTCACAAAGCAGAACATGACAAAACCCTAGACTGCTTTAACTTTGTTTGAGAGACTTTTTTTTCCTAAGTGCTATCTTGTATTGAGAAAGCAAAAAGAATTTGTACTTCAATTAAATTGAAAAAAGGTAGACAAACACAGTCTTATCTTCATTAGGATTTTTCAATAACTCTTCAGTCAAAGGAAACAGATATGCTTACTGGCTTAAGAATTAGTCTTAGTAATGGGTTATAATATTAATAATTATATACCAGTAGCCATATTAATAACTGGATTATATTAAGATCATGAAGTAGTGAGAGCAGGAAAATAAATTGCACAGCAGCACAAGGAGCATGATTGATGTTTGCATTTCCTCAGTCCTCAGTACATGCATTTTGTGTGAGATGTATATTTTATACCACTGCCAGAACTGCTGTTTGTCTTACAGCTAACACCTCATTTAGAAGGCAGGTAATAAATAAACTAGAATAAATACTGAGAAAGCTACAGAACTTCAAATTAATTTATTGCTTTACTCCAGTAAATCAGGAGGAAACTCTTCATCCAGTTTGGGTGACATCGTTCCTAGTTCCAGAAAATCGACGCCTCCATCATCTGGTGAGTAGGTTGTGAACCCTTTGGTTTACAGACCAATCAACCTAATCTGTTAAAATTGATATACATTTAGTTCTATTTTTCTTATTCCCTATACTTCATAGGTAGAACCTTGGTGTTGCACTACCATATAAGGCTGGTTTGGGTAGACTTGAAGTAATGGAGTCAATGCCAGCAAGTTCAGGCAGTGATAGGCACAAAATTCCCTCTTTGCTTTTAACATGGAGTTTTATAGCAAAGCCATAATAAATTGGTGAGACTACATTACAGTAGGATAGTTAAAGCACTCCTGCTGAACAATAAATATCTTCTGGTACAGGAGAAAAAGCAGCAATAAAAATAAAAATTCCTGAAAAGTTTCTGCAGTAGCATCAAGAAAAACAGTCTTTTAAAACATCAGGAATTTTCAGTTTCACAATTCTGTGAATGTTCTTCACGTTATTCTAGGATACTGGATATTTTTTTGCCTTCTTCCACAAATTTTTCACAAATACTGTTTTGCATTTAGAGCATCAACAGGTAGATTTAACTTCAGGTGGGTTGGATTCAAGAGGTATGAAGCAAATACATGGCAAGTTGGTGGAGAAAGCTGGCATTAGCTCCTTGAAAAAAGCATAGCAGATTACGAAAGAAAAAAATTCTATTGAATTCAGCTGCTGCATTGCTGGATGTTTTATCTTTGCATGTACATTTTGAATACCTGAAAGCAGAAGATATTAATGAATGTTACTAGTGACTTGTCTGCTGGGGCAAAGATGTATTTTCCAATCATATTAATTTATACATAGCCTGGCCTACCGAACAGGTGTCTTAAAATCAGGCTGAAGATTTTAAGGAATATACATGGACATTAAAACAGAGACAGAGGAATTCAATTATGTTATGTTAGTAGCTTCATTTGATTAAATGAATTGAAAAATATTTCTGTCTTTCTTGTGAAACCATGAATTTGTTTGTAACAACCAACTTTATTATGATTGCAGTCTGTTTATCAAAACTCCAGTTTCACTTGTTCTCTTTTTTTTTGAAAATATTTTTTTAGTTTATTAATGTGTGTCCATCACAAGTGAGCAGACCACACCTTAATCTTCCATTTTACGATGGCTTTAAATTGTCATGTTTACTGCTAAGGCCAACTTTTTCAACAACTGCATTTCTGTTGTAAAATTATCTATTTTGCACCTATATTGTAATTTTATAGTTAGAACATCTGAAATGCTGTAGTATTGTTTTCTACCCAAAACCCACTTGAAGATAAGTACATATATTTCCAGAATGTTGCACAGAATTTAGAGGTAAGAGAACAGAGAGCATACCTATGTCACCAGCTCACTGCTAGCCATCCTGTAATTTTCATTGCATTGAACTGTTTCTTCAGGCGGTACTTTTCAGAATCATGGTTTTCTGGAGAAAGAAGGAAATCTGGTAAAATTTATTCAGTTACATTGAAGATTTGGAAAATTCGTATGAATAGTGCACATTAGCTGATTCTGTGATCATAAGATTTTGAGTCTACAATATTTTTTTGCTTATCTTAAGACATCCTAAAAAAAGTGGAAGAGACATAGTTTGCGACTAACACAAGAACTCAAGTGATTTTGAAGTACAATTCAATTATCATTCCGAGACTTCCTCTTTTTGAAAGTACAGTTACAAACACATAATTTATTTAATGAGTTGAAGAATATTAACTGAACAAGTTAATTTCATTTTTTAACCTTGAGTCAGGGATGGTTTTTTTCAGTATAAAATAGTGCCACAGGAAACAACAAATCAAATCAAACCCACAAACAGGACTAAGACCCAGTGAAAAACAAATGAAAGGGAGGCTCATATCGATTTAAATAATCAATATTATATTGATATAGTAATCAATTCATACAGTCTTTGTAGGCCACCAAACTGAGTGATCATAATGGTGAAAACGACTTTGGAAAAAACACAGTGAAATAAAGATAATTAATAGCAAAAGAACTGTCACAGAAGATGTTACATAGTGTGAAGACTGAGAATGAAAAAAGGAGATATTGATATCTAGCTGATCAAGTTCTGCATTTCTTTTTTACAGGAAAAGCCTAACAACCCTGATTTCTCTTTACTGACAATTTTAGTTGAACATAGAACTGGAGTTTTAATATGCCTTATTATGAGTGATTTACAGCATCTGTGCTGGCCTGTATTCAAGAAAAGATAATATGTTCTTTTTATATTATGAAGAGGATGAAGGAACAGTGTTGCTAGAAGAAAATGTTACGTGGCTTCTGTGGCTGTTTTTAGGAGCAGGATTATAGAAACAGGATGTGGATCTGCACACTGGCTTTCCTGGGAAGGGCGGGCTCAAAGGCACAGTGACTCAGGGATATGTGGATAATTTAAATGGGAAAATATACTTTATGCAAACAAAAGAAATCACTGCTCCAGTTGTCTCTTAAATCAGTAGCTGCATGTAGGCTTGACAGAAATATTTATTTGTTACATAATTTAATACCACATGCCACTGTATTAGTTGATGTCCCACTCATCAAGCAGATGAAAGCAGGTCACTAAGATGGTTTCATAATAGTTTGCAATGATTAATTAAGGGTTTGGATAAAGTCAATGCAAACGATTCTGCTTACAGATCTATTTAGTGTTAGATTCAGTTCGACATAATGGCATGGCAAGATAAACCTGTGTTACCCGAGTGCATTAAAAGGTGGGTAAAATCTTCACACGCAAGAGTGATGTTGTACAGCACACTTCTGGTTCACTTTTGTGCATCTACCTGCTTTCTGAAGACAAATTTAAATCACTACTTAAGATCAGGATTGATCATAGTAAACAAGAAACCTTTTGTTTTGTTTTGTTTTACATGTAGTTGGCAGGTATCTATTGGACTCAGCATTCAGGATAACATGGCTTTGCATCTTGATACTGTATTTATTACTGAGTCTGTGATGATTTTTATCAAAACAGTTAGTACTTATTTGCTAAACAGGGTAAATAACTCATAGTTACGTCATAAGTATTGTTTGCCATATATTCTTTTGGGGTAGAGGTTGAACAGCAGTGGTTTATTGTATTCGCTTCCATTTTGCCCTGTCTACATCCTCACTCTCTACAACAGGATCCATGTCTCTGAGTCAAGCTGGGATAAATTTCTGCTCTTCTGCTACCCATTCATTTTAGTTTTCACTATTAGTAGATCAAAGTTAATTATTTCTAATAAATGTGTCTTATGAATACAATGCATTTTTAGTTAAGGGGTTGAAAATGCCAATTGTAGTCCACTCTGTGATAAATGCAGATATTATTGTACCAATATCAGGATGATTTTGTATTCACAAGTGATTTTTCTTCTGTTTCTTCATTTCCTATAGACATGCTAGTGACATTTCAAATTTCAGTCAATTATGCCCATTTTGAACTAGTGTTCATTGCTACAAAACAATCCAAATGTTTTGACCAAGTTCTGTTGTTTACATTCGTGAAAGTCTTATCTATTCCAGTGAAATACTTTGGATTTACACTGGTGTAAGAACAACAAACTTGGCCATTGGTCTATTTTGTAAATGTTACAATAGCTGTTACAGATCACCTTCTGTCTTCTAATCCTAATGTACTGCACCTTTAAATTATTCCCTTTGTTTTATTGTGTTTTGTTCTCATGGTTGATTTTTAGTTTTTATTTATTTATTACTCTGAACAGTTTTATTTCTCTTTACCCGTAATTTCCTTTTTTAACCTATCTTTACTTTCCCTGTCATCTGATAATTCTGAATTGTTTGTCTGTATGTAGCTATAGACATAGATGCCACTGGCTTAGATGCAGAAGAAAATGATATTCCAGCAAACCATCGCTCCCCCAAACCCAGTGCAAACAGTGTAACATCACCCCACTCCAAAGAGAAAAGAATGCCCTTCTTTAAGAAGGTAACACCGACTTCCAAGCTCCCATCTGTCCACCTGCTCACCTGCACTGCGTCACATTTCTAGTCCTGTTAACTGTCTGCGTCCTTTGACAAGCCAATAACATGCATGCTTTGTTGTTCTTTGTTTCTTTTCCATGCTGCTGTAGCTAAGCAGAAGCAGAAATCGGTAAGTTTATATTGACATTGCCTGTGTTTATCCTGCCACTGGCATTATTAGCATTGTTACTCCAGATTAACAATGCAGCTATTCTAGAATTAAGGAGGAAGAGATGTATTGAGCTGTTAGCGGATTCAGTACAAGAAAACAGGCAAGAGTTCAGTGTATCTGTGAAACTCTGCTACAGTACTTATCCTTTTTGATGGAATAATAGAACACATTTGAAAGGCCTTCTGAAAGTTTGAGAAAATTATTTCTAGAAAATCCATATAATTCACCTCTCTAGTGCCTGCTTATTCTTTCTATATCTTTCTCAATTGTATTTTTTTTTTATTTCTCAGTCTATTGAAATCATTATTGGAGTCTCTCAGATACTCAGTTTGTACTTAGAAAACAAATAATCAAAATTGTTGTATTTTTAGTTTAGTCCGTATTTAAGCTTTCAGTTCACTAAGTGCAAAATCTGCAGGTGCACAAGACCAGTGGAAAACCTCAGACTTGTTTTGACAGTTTACTTTGAGTTTTTCCTGTTGTCATGTATAAATTATCGGCCAAATGTTCTTGTCACCCATCAGTCAGACCTTTTTAGTATCTCAGCTATTGGAAATGGCACTGGTCGTTTCCAGAAGAGCCAATGTTTCTCCGTAGATAACCCAGATAACTAAAGAATTATGCAATTGGCATTGTGTTACAACAAGCTGCAATACATTTCTAGGATCTTTGCTGGAATAAGTTGGCACGACATTAGGTAGCAGCAAACTATGCAGTGAAATACCATATTTCTACTTTTTTTGTTTTAGAACCTTTAGACTTCATAGCTCTTATTCACTTGTTTTTAACCATTCACTTAAATCTACAGGTAATAAAAGACTGTTATAGTGCTTATAAATAGTGCCAAGTGACATTGTTGTCCCTGCTGGATGCTTTCCTGTTTAGTAAATAGAACTTTCTTTCTGTCTCTATTTTTTTCTCCTCAAACTCTTTTAAATAATATTGAATCTTTCTCATTTCCAAAGTCACGACCATTGGCTTCAGTAGGGTCTGTTATGCCCAGTGTGGAAATCAACAACAGTTTCTTGCTTCTGAGTAATTTCTTACTTAATCATATTTATAACCACATAAAAATGATAAGGAAGAATAATACATGTTGACATATATTGGATGCTGTCTGCATAAGCATCTTTCAAAGATACATCTTCTAGATGAACCAACTTAGACCTGGATGGTGGTTAGTCACCTCTCTTTCTTCTACTCTGTGGTGCCTCCCTTCTTCCATATCAGAATCATTACTGGATATAATGAGGTTTGTGATACTAACACATTAAGTACTGGATGGGCATTTCAAATTAATCTACACAGTCAAACCACTGAGCAAAAGCCACATTGTCAAACCTGCTGATTTTCAGTATGAGTTCATATTTGAACTTAAATCTGCAATGAAAACTGTGTAGCTCAGTGACATTAGATTCTCTAATGCTAAATTAAAGAACTTTAACGCTTCCATTAGATAACTCTTACTCAATTTTCTGCTGAAAGCTTCATTATTTCAAGCTTTAAAGATTAGAGAAAAAAAATCACCCATTTTGACAGAATAGATTTTAAGAATAATTCATATTCCATCAAATTTCTGTGCCTGCTCTAACTGTCAAATACCTGGTTAACTTCTAGCATGTATGCCTTCAGTTGAGTTAGTCACATTAAGACAAAGATCTGTTGCATCAGGACACTCATTCCTTAAGCACTTGCATATCTGTAAAGAATTTTTCATTGAATCTGTCTCTAATACACTTACCAGATTATTAATAATGTTAGCAAGAACAGTGGAGGATTGCATTTTGATACTGGCACACCTTAATTGCAGGGTTTTACTTTGAAATGTGTTGAGTCAGTTTCTGTGCTGTGTAAAATAAATTCATTTCACATGCTTATGATGCCTTGGGCACTGGTATTCATTTTTATGTTACTAATTATCTGGTGAAACTACAGGTAACAAAAAATAAAATAAATTACATTAAAGAACATTCACAAAAATATTTTCTATGTTTTAGACTGCTTTAGACTGCTGCTTGTGTAGCATTGTGTGCTGTCACTGTATTAATGTCTGTCTTTGTGGGTTTGTGTTTTGGAATGTATATACTTATTTTAATGTTATTGTGAAACACCTTGGGATACATTGAGCACTAGAACAATGAACAGTGTCTGTATTCTGTTATCTTGACTGATGTATTTGTACTATGTAAGCATTAGAAAAATAGATCCAGCATTCCTTTTTCCATATCACTCAAACATTTCTGGATTTGGATTTCAATCATGTTTTCCCAAAGAAAACCCAAAACTTCCCATATGAACAAAAAACTTTTTCTGATAAGACTCATTCTTGGTGATTGATATATGTTAAAATAGCCATTTATTAACAAAGAACCAAAGAACCCCAAACCAACAGTTTAATTTGTTTCTATTGCATTGTGATAACAATATAAACCTTTTGCAATCTTTGCAAGGAAGCAATTTTTTTATCTTTGTATTTTAAAATACTTTTTCGAAATTGTGCATGATACATCAGTAAGTACTTTGATAAATATTGTACTAACAGAATCCATTCTTGGGTAGTGACAGAAACTTCCCAAAGTGGAAGAATTGCTATCCCAAGCTCTGTTTATGATAATTTTCTAGAAGTACTAACTTGATCAGTGATTATTTTGGTTTCATTTGCAATTGAATCATGGATGCAAATGTGGATGTCAGATTATGAGTGCTGCCATGGGAATTTGCAGTGATGTCACAATGTTTTGTCAAGCAGTGGGCAGATCTGAACATTAAAAAAAGAGATGTGTTATGCTTTTCCCATCCCGTTTTATTTTTCTCTTTCATCATTTTCCTACATAAAATTTTTGTGGGAAACAGATGTCACATCTCTAGAGTCAATCATTTCAAATCATTAGCTGTTGGAAATAACCTTTTCAATTTACCAGTTAGGAATTTTGCAAAGGAACATATGCATGTCCCAGAATAAGAGTTTTGTAACTATCCAGAGCAAATGTGAAAACAGTATGAAAACCTAAAGTCCAAAAAAAGCTTTTTCAAAACAAATCCCTGAACCTCCTATGTCCTTATCTTATGCTACAAGTTTTTGGGAAAAGTTAATTAAAAGAAATTCCTGTGTTGGTGACATTGCTGGAAATTCATAGTTCCTAATATTATAAACAGGGTATAAACTTTCTCTAGGTGCTGTGACACTGAAAACTTTATCTGTTTTGCAGACAGAGCACATCCCTCCCTATGATGTAGTGCCTTCTATGCGACCAGTAGTTTTAGTGGGGCCTTCTCTGAAGGGATATGAGGTAATTGATTGTTGAGAATGTTTTATTTGCCAAAATACTGTGCTTCATTTGTATTCGATAATTTATATCATAGACAAATATTTAGACAGTTTTTACTCCTAGTAAATAGTTGCTTATTTGTATTTTACTTCATGTCAGAATTGAGATGAAGAATAAATTGCATTCCCATCCTGTTGTTCAGATATGATTTACTGTCAGCTTTATTATATAATATTATTAGCATCAAGCATTATGAATTTCCTATATGATTATTAATTTTTTGTTTGTTTGCTTCTAGGTAACAGATATGATGCAAAAAGCATTATTTGATTTTTTAAAACATAGATTCGAAGGGCGGTAAGTACTTGGCAATGCAAATATACTTCAGTTCAGGTTCTGTTTAGGTACTACCAGGATTTTAAGAAATTATGACATTGTAGAAAATCAAGAATGATGGATAATTCCTTGATAAGTGTACTCTAGTGTGTATTGAAAGTTTCCTTGGCAGAAAATGCAGAAGTTGTGTTGCAGTGGGAACTGTTCAGGGGCGTATATTTGAGTGGGAAAAAGGATGTCTCCTTTTTGATGACTGTGACATTCACACTCCAAATTGCTAGATATTTATCTACAAATTAAAAAGTTATTTTAAGTATTTTTCAAGTGATACCTCATCAGTGCTTCCCAGGTTCTGAGCAAAATGACAAGAGCCACCATTCCTCCTCAGCTCTAATTCTTTACTTGGCATCGAACTTGGAAAGAGTGTTATGAGATTCTGACTATCTAATATATGGGATTGTCAAATCCAAATTTGATCCCTCAAGATAGGATCTTGGTTTGACAGTACTTCTGGGCTCTGTAGTGGGAAGTTCCAGAAGGACTGGGTTGCAGGGGTGGGGTAGTCCCCCGCTTTGCTGAAATATGATCACCCTTGGTAGCAGATGAGCTGCACTCCCTGGGTTCTGATCTGAGCGCTGTGGCAGCAGACTAGGCAAGGTCCACTCGGATTTGTATTTGAGCCCTCAGACATTACTGTAGTACAGATGTCAAATGCTAATCTGCCTATAAAAGCAGTAGCATGATCTGTAGCTCAAACATCACGGACCCATGGACCAGAGACATCAGCTGCATTCTCCACATGTTTTTTGTGACTGGATCAAGCTACAGATCAATATGTGCTAATGGGTTGACATTGTGGGGGGAAAATTGAAAGAATAGGAAAGTGTTATAATATCTGTAACTTTCTATTTAGTTTGGAAGTGGACAGATCAGTAACACTATTCTGTCTGTCCAGTCAAAACTTTGAAGAGGGAGCTTGAGGGTTTTTGTCAATAGCTTCAACTCTTTAAAATGCAGAGCATTGTTGTTTAAGCCGTTGGATTTTCTCAGTCAGAATAGTGATGTTGATACCTAACCACTTATAAATCCCTCTTTATATTATTCAGGGTTGTCAAACTTTAAACGCATACCTTCAGGACTGGAAGTTAACAAAACAGTGGTTGTTGCAAGCAAAAAAAATTATTATGTTTTTATGTCTTTAGGTATTTTAGAGAATGTCTGATTTTCAGTTGTAGATCTAATTGTGGCAGGGTGAATCCACAAATACTCTGAAGACAATAGTAGATTTGAATCATCCCAAACTTTATTAGCAATCTGTATTGTTAATCAAGGTCCTGAACAAATTTGTACAGGAGGTTCTTAGATTCATACTACTGCTTTCAGCTGCCACACTGCTGTCCCTGCTCTCATTGCAATTGTTTCACAATATGAACATACATATCCTTTGTTTTGAGAGGAGACTTGGTCATTCTGGGGAGATGTGTCTCAAAAGACATTAAAATGATCTTAGAAAGACGTTAAAATGAAAAATAGCATTTTTCATAGGTAGAAAAATAGACTGCTAAATCTGGCTTTGTTCAATATACCATAATTGCATTTAAAAAAGACAAAAAATTTCTATTACATGTAGGAAGGAAGACTGGCAGGAAAAAAATCCAAATCAAACCAAAAACCCAAAAAGTTGTAGAAGTTTCTAGTGTACATCCATTAACAAATAAAGATAACTGATGACTACCCCAATATGAGTTTGATTTAATTTTAAGACAAATGGCATTATCTGTGAGGAACTGTACCAGAAATCACAATCTTTGGTTACGTTTTTAGCTTAAGTTAAATCATGTCTAAATTTCTAAAATTACATTACTAATCTGTATTGTCCAAATAATTCTGCTTTTCCATATTAACTTCTGGCTTTGTTACACTTTTTAGGGTTTTAGATAAGTGTATACACATGTTAAGGTCACTGGGAAATGACCTGTTGGATTACATTTCATATGAACAAACAGCATCTGACAGTGCTTGCTAGAGAGGAGCCCTCCCTGTTCCTAGCAAATACATTTCCTCCTTTTCAATTGCAAGTAAAATCCTACAAGGAAGAAGAAGAGAATATCATCAGTCTGATTTAACTTTCAGCACTGGAAAAATGTGACCTCTGAACCTCATTAGACCAGAGTTTGAAAGGGAACTTAAGAGTGTATTTTGACCCTGTAAAGCAAAACAAACCAAAGTAACTGTTTTCCTAGGATGAAGAATATGCAGAAGGTTATGTAGCAAACTGAAAGTAACCACTTCTTTCATAAATACAAAACTGAGCCTGCCAGTTTTCAAGTACATGTTTCTCTGCGTTACAGTTCCCATTTTTAGGTGGCCAGCATATTGCTGCATCTTTCTGGAAAATCGTAGGTAACTCTTACACTCTGTTAAAAAACACATGCTAATAAACTGAACAATAAAACTTAAATAAATAAATAAATAAATAGATTATATTGATGTATTAGTTTCCCTGCTAAGCCTTACCTTTACCATTTAATTCTGCACATCCCTATATGTCTTATACGTATGGCTAAAATAAGCCAGGTCGTCATTCAGTACCATTCAAGAAACTGGGGAAAGGAGAAACCAGCCTTTTCATGCTGGGCATAGTTGTGCAAAGTCAGACTCTCATCAAACCCAGAGACCCCAGTGAAGTCCCATCTTCTGCAGCACATCTCTGTCCTTCTCCTGCTTCCTCTCTCCCCAGGCATGTGTAGCTTTGCAGGCAGTGGTCATACTGCATTTCAGGACTGTACAGAAGGATGATGCCTTATCAATAGTTCTTGTAGCAGTATCAGTTAGATAAAGTTTTTTCTCTGTTCCCATTATGGGAAGCATACTGTGCTGCTGAGAAGAAGTAATTTTCCTATGGTCTTAGCCATCTTCTAGTGTTCCCCACATCCCCGAAAGATAAGTAACATTCTGTACTATTTTACTGTCTTTATTGTTGCAGTATATCAATTACACGAGTCACAGCAGACATCTCGCTTGCCAAACGCTCAGTGTTAAACAATCCCAGTAAGCATGCGATAATAGAGCGATCCAACACGAGATCAAGCTTAGGTAAGTACCTATAATGATGTTATCTGCAAATTGCCTGTAAAGTATACTACTCTCAATTCATATGCGTAAGCTAAAAATAGCCTTCTCTCTGCTGTGAGAAAATCACAATTCCCATAATCCAGAAATCCTGGCACTAGAAATCATTTTAAAATCACTACCATGTAAACTTCATAAAGTGCTGATTTTCGTTTATCCTGCTTATGCTCAGTTTCCATGGTTTGCTGTTTGCCTTGGTGGGGAGAAGTAACCATCCATATAAAATCTGAAGACATGTTCTTCCAGTTGAATAAAAGTAACAATTTTCAAATACTTGGAATTATATGGATGTTATTAATATTGTGCATTATCTTTGATAGGATTATTAGTAATGACAGCTACTGACATGAGGCCTGAAAAAAGTTATTGAAATACACATTTTATGAATTTTGTATAAGTTTAAATTAATCCTGACGTTGGTACAAAAAAAGAAGGGTGCAAAAGTGTTTTTAAAAATGTTTTTAAAATGTTTTTTAAAAACTGTATAGCTAGGTTCATAACATACACATCTGTCATCTTACATGAGTCATTTTGTAGTGAAGCTTGTCCAGTTGTATAAATAATTAAACATTTATTAGCCAGAAAGAAAAACAAGCTTAGCTGGGAAGTTGTAACTAAATGTCACCATCTGCAATACAGGTGTCTCCACTGGAGCTTGTCATCTAAGGACAAGGTGTCCTTAGAGCAAAGAGGAAAAGGTGGACACTTCGGAGTCCTAATTCCTGACTGACCTTAGCCTTTCCTATAGTGTGAGGTCTTTTATATCCAGGACTCTGCTGCTACCACCAGTGCATTTCCTGTGTAGAGACACCTGGATCTAGCTAGAAGGTATAGTGGAAGGTTCTCTGCCCATGCAGTGAGGTTGGAGCTAGATGACTTTAAGGTTCCTTCCAACCTAAACTGTTCTATGAATCTAAGATTCTAAGATGAATTCTGCTAGGAGTCTATATACTTGTTTTAGGGCACCCAGCTGAGATATGGGACATAAGTCCCCTAAAAAGACCTGTTCAAGTCCCCAGTCAAATACAAAAAAAAAGGAGGAACTTGCTAGATCACAGGCGAATGCTCCAGTCATCTTTCTGCCTTTACATTGCTGCAGGTTCCTCTTAGTACCCTTCGAGAGAGCTTGATTTCCCCCAAACACAGCATTGTATCTTGAAAACTTGTGAGACCCCTGGTGGCCTAGTGGTTAGCGTGCAGGACTTTCACTTCTGCGACCTCGGGTTCGAATCCCCGGTCTCCTGGCCTGATGGAGGTCGTTAGCCCTGTGTGGCCATCCATCTATGAGAAGGACACTGTAAACAAACCTACGTCCTGAGGACCTCACTGCCATTGTCCAAGCTTGCTTGGCCCCGGCAGATGAACCTTAGGATTAAAGGGTGGGCTCAGTTCAGCGCAGGCTGTGTCTCACCTAAAAAATCCATTGCGCAGGCTGGAAAGGTAAAAGACCTTTCCCCAAATCTTCGTTCGCGAAGATGGGCCATTATTATCTTGAAAACTTGTACATTTTGTGGGATAGGAAAGGAATTTCATTCATCCTATCAAGTGGATTCTTTATCAGTTTTGTTACAAAACATTTCTGACTCCACCTGTGCCGTGATTGAATATTTAACACTTGCCTAATATAGTTGTCCTTCTTAGAAAAAGCTTCTCTGCCTTAAAAAGTTTGACCCCCCGTTTTTGAAAATTTATTTCTTAAAACCTTTGCTCTCAGCTATGTGGAGTCTGAATTTTTGCTTGCAAGTAGTCTGATAGGTTCCAAGAGTGTCTTATTTTAAGTGTTTTCAAATAGCAAAATGCAATGTACTGTAACAACATAATTAATGTCTTTACATACAAGAATATTCTTTTATGTGAATTTCAGTCTTGTAACCAAAGTCTGTTTAATAATCTACTCAAAATATAAAGTGTCACTTGTTTTGAATAGAACTGAAAATCGGTAATAAGGATGGAGGTCACCCAGTCATGGAACGAACAGAATCATGATGATTGAGTTCCCAACCTGATCATCAAAGTGTGTGCAATTTTGCAATACTGCACAAATATATGCAGCAGTAAAAAGCATATCATCTTTTCCTCATGCTAAAATATTCTCACATATGTAAAACAGCTATCACAAAAATGTATACAGGGAAAAAAAAATCTATAAAAATTAAATGCTGCCCTATCTTGTACACCTTCATCTCATGTAGAACCTTACCCTTGAGAGCATCAACATCTTTTCTTTGTGTCAAGATACTTTTTTAGATAGAGTTATTTAAAATGGAAGTTCTGACAGAACCTCAGTTGGAGAGACTCAAAAGATGACACTGATTATGTATATATGTAAATATGTGGATAGATAGATATGTCTCTCTGGTTTTTGTAACAGGCCTTTTATTATTAATTAAGATTTCCTGCTACATATCAGGTCTTCAGTTGCTTATAATTGTTCTAAAGATTAACTGATTTACAAAGTAATTCTTAAGTATCTTGGAAAATATTAGGTAGAGCAACTGAATCATTTTAACCATGAAGTTAGGGCAAAAATTAATTTTACCTATGCTAAAATATTCTCAAAACCTTTTTTTCAGAAGCTGTAGTACTTCTGTAGTTCTAGTAAACTAGTGAATTGAATGAAATTTCAGTTACATGTTTGTGGGCATTTTTTATGAAAATAACAAGAAAACTTTACCAAATTGTTAGATGCTGCCATTAACACATGCCAAGCTTTGCATCTGAATTGCTTAAAGACTCAGCCTTTCTTGGCCAAGGTCCAGCAATGATGCTGAGCAGAACCTGCTCCCAGCAGATTGAATCAGGTCAGCCAAGCAGAACTAAAGTGGAAAGATGCTCATCTTTCAAGTTGCAATCCCTACTTTGCTGTGCAGCATTGAATAAAAAGACATTTTCTTTGAAGATGTTTACCTGGAGTTACGGAGAAGGAGTTAGGAGAATTGAATCCATTGCTACATTACCTCCAGGGACTGTGTTCAAGGCGTGGGGTAAACCATGGAAGGACAAAAACCAGCCAGGAAGAAAGTCAGGCACAGAAATGATGTGGCAGCAGTGTGTTGGGAGGAAAACTGAGATAAAATAAAATAAGCTGGAGACAGAAAAGGTAACTGCTATTGTAAGACAGTGGGAAAACCATTGTGCAAGGCAAAATTGAAAAAGTACAAGGAGTGTTACAGCCTGTTTCCTTGCTTACCTGCAATGTACCTCAAGGTAGAAATAAGAGGCAGACTCAGAAAATATTTGTAATCTGCTGGTAGGTGGCCTCTCCTAGCAGTGGTTCACAAGGAAGACAACAATATACCTCTTCTGTGAGCATTTCGTTGGCTGAAGTAGAAGAAGTGAGTGGCAATTTCTGACCTTATAGTGAATTTTTTTTTCTTCATTTTGTGTGATGAATTTGCTGTAGGCCAACAAAAAATCCTATTAAATCCTATTAAAAGAATATTATTCTTTTAATAATTTACAAATTCAAGTTGTGAAAAATAAAGGTTAGGAAGTGATAGTAGGAAGGTTAAATGTGTAGCTTCTTAGTAGCTTTAGGTTTATGTATGCTGTGATTCAGTCTTTGTTTAAGTGTTTGCACACTACTTTTCCACCAATCTTCTACCTTAGTTTTCTTGAAAAAAATATGCAAACTAATGTGGAGAATTGGAATTGTTCAGTGTATTGCTATTTCCCTTATTTCCCCATATTAGCTTATACAGTGTATGGGGCAAGACACATCAGGAAGGCAAATGAAACTCTCTAAAAACACAATAGGACATTTTCAGTTTATGTTCTTGTTTTGGAAAGGGATCTGAATTTCAGTCTTAAGCGTACTGAGCACTGGTTTATCTCTGTGGTTCAACAGGTGTTAATTCTCTGTTGAAAAATGGGATGACCCCAGTGGGAGGGGGATCTGCTGTATCTGATGGCCTGCAAGCTACAGCACTGCAGCACAGTGTGCCATGGGCCTCTCTTCTGAATCCCAGCAGCGGGAACACTCACCCAGGGCCAACAAGTAGCCCCTTGACACCACTGAAGGCTTACTGCCAGAGATGACAGCCTTCAAAGCTCACCAAGGCAGTGCAGAGTGTGCCATGTACCGGGGTGACTGCCGGTGCCTCAAGCCAGGGTGGGTGCCAGCAGAGGACGGAGGCACAGAGGGAAGGAGCTGAGTCCTTCCCTCCACGCTGAGTCCCATCCTGTCACTGGCTGTCATGGCTTACCAAGTCAGAGGTGAGGTGCAGTGCTGAAGGGTGTAAAGGGAGACTCCCTTTTTACTGCATTAACTGAAGAGCCCTGCGCAATAGTGGCTTTTGCTGCTTTCTGATACAGAAATGCTGTATAGTATTGGCCTGGTTATTTACAGACTTTATAAAGATGGCTATTTTCCCCTCATGTTTTCTGCATGCTTCAAGCATGTTTTTTAGAAGTACTAAGTATTGTAGCTGAAACAGAGATTCAAGCATTGAACCTGTAAACAATAGTATATGCCATTAAAATCAGCATGTTGCATGGTAATGCATTGAGTTGGAAAAAGCAGATGGAAACCAGGTAGTCCTATGGACTACTGGAGCTCCTGTTGGGTACCTTGTGAAATACCAGCCTTGTGACTCCTCATTCCCCAGAAATCCTCTTGTTTTAGGCTCTTCTCTTTGCTGACATTTAACTGAGGAGGTATTCTTGTCATTCCAAGCCTAGCTCAAAGAATTCTTCCCTTCTCTCAGATCATTACTGATATCCTGTACTGACAGTACAGAGCAGCATCAGGAATGTCCTGAGTCTTAGTACTGACTTCTAAAAGAAGCTTCAAGGTTATGTTCCATTTTGGAAGAAAGAATCCCCAGAAATCAGGATTTCCTGTTGGATGACTTCCATATTTTTAGTCTGAATGTAATTTTTACTGTGGTAATTACTCTGAAGAATCAGACACTACATTTCTGAAATGGAATCCCCCCAAATTATTCATAACCTGTGATTATTCTTTGTAATTCAATTTTCTATCTGGAAAATATGAATAATTCCAGCTTCTCACCTAACCAGGATGTTTCAAAGTGAAAAATTGTTTTATTGCATCAATGAAGTACCTTCACAGTAAGTTCCATAAAGTAGCCCATAAATAGTTTATTCATTCTGTTTTCAGAGAAAGATTAGAACCATGTATTCTAAACGAGATCTGAAACACATATTTGACAATGAAGAGAAATTAAATTACTCAATGGCTTCTTTTCAGTGGCTGTTTATTATAGCAAATATAGCTCCCCAGAACAACTTTATGTTAATCCAAATCCCTCCCTCCTTCCAGATTCAATGGGAAACTATTCCTTTACTCACTCACCTTTGTGAAGTGGTACCTCATGCAGTTAAACAGCCAGGCCACTGATTTACCCCTCAGTTATGCTCACATTTGTGACCAGCAGTTTAACTGCAGCAGAGAAGGCTATTTCTTAGACTTTTGAAAATATATTGTTGGGGTTTAAGTATTATTTTAATAAGTGTTCTATCAATTACTTAATATGTTACAAAGGTAATGTGCTTGATATATTAATACCAAATACTTTTTTTCTGAGAAATAAATAAACCTCTTTTTGAGAAGTCTTACCTTATCACCCAATGCAGATCTGTGATATTATATATATTGTTCATAATTGTGCATAGCACAGAAAACAGTGAAGTGAGCACCATTATTTGGAACTGATTTAATAGATAACCCAGAATTAATTTCAAATAGGCAGAGACAAATAATGTGATCACCAGGAGTAGGAATAGCCATCAGGAACTGGATATACAGGATTATAGGGTAGTCTCAATCAGCTTAATGCTACATACACCTATCGACTGACAGTTTGCTTTTGTAATGGAATCAGTTAAAAATAGACTTGGGATTTGAATCATTGGAAACCAATGCTACCACTGCATATCTAGTACAAAATTAATGTTCTCAAGAATTTTTAAAAAATATTGTTTGACTTGTAAAGATTTAGGACAGTACAGTCTTATTCCTCTCCTATGTGGAAGATTGTTTTGTATATAAAGAGTACTGTTTGCTTGTCAATACATGTTTAACATGTGAGATGCTAGAACTAAATTTAAGGAAAGGGCAAATGATTAATTTCCTTAAAAACCTGGAAGAAATCTGTCATTTTGAACAGAATTTTTTTCTCCAAGAAGGTACAGTACATGGTTAAATCTTATTCACCTGAAAATCAGCCCCAGTTGGCTTAGTTAAATTTTTATATAGATACATGCCATTTGCAGAAACTGCTGAACCAGCTTTGTGCTTTTGCTGCATTTCTTCGTCAAAAGAACCCAAACCTTTTTCTGTGTATGTTACACTTGTTATAACCTTACCTCATGCTGTATGCTTCGTACAAAACCTGATTGTCTTGGCTTTTTCCATTCTTTGCTTCATTAATGCTCTCCTTTTCCAGATGTTTTAGGTATGTATAAAAGCTTGCAAATTACTTTTCCTCCTGTTTTGTGTTCAGTGCTTTATTGTACCTCACAGAACCACTGTGTGTTTCTTGCATCTGGCTCACGGATAGACAAAAGCTGATCCTGTACTGTGTTGCTAAGTCTTTCTTTTAAAAAACCTTGCCAGTTTTCCTTATTTATTTTCAAGTAATTCTAAAAATAGAGTTGACATTGACAAGTAAACGCTAAAGATTAGGTATTCCTCTGTATATTTCTAAGGTATGTGCACCTAATCTGCATATTCTGACACAGATGTATGAATGTTGATGTAAAATATGTCATCGTGTATGTGTTAAATCAATTGTGGTCACATGCCTGGGAATCTGTTTATTTGCTTTCTCTGTGCACATGCAGTAACCTGTCAGGCATTACATGTGCAATTACATGCAGTTTGCATGTGCAATTGAGTGCCAACCTTTAGAAAGTTGTCTATAGAAAACATATAGAGCTCCCATTCACATCATTAGGTTGATATTCCAAAGTTTTGTCTTCTGAAAATGAAATATAAATGCTTGAAGAAATAGTAGTGGATTACCTGTGCAAATTTCAGCCTCATATTTTTATTTTCTTGATATTTGTGTAAAAAGCCAGTTGAATGCTTGAAACTATGCTAACAATTTATTTGTTTTGTTTCTATATATATGTATGAATACACACTATATATTATATCCATATATAGAAATGTTATTATGTATTCTCCATGTTTGGTAATTTAATGACAGCTGTTTGAAGTAAATGCTTCCCCAACTATAAATCAAAGATAAACTTAAAAGAGTGCTAGCTAGGCCTCATAAAAATTCTTCCTTACTTACAGAGGCCAGGAAACAGGAATGCAAAACTGGGATTTAACCAAGAGTGTGTTCCCTTTCCAAAGTCTAAAGGATCTAATATAGTTAAAGAAAACAGAAAAGGTGTTCAATGTGTTGTGAAAAATCCTGATTGTCTCTTTTTTAATTTTATCTTCAAGGTAGCTGGGACAAATGTCCATAACTCTCACTTCCAGGCACTAAATCTTCAGATATTTTAATCTGTTAAACCTGAACCTGCCTTAAACCAGAATGCTGTAATTAATATAGCAGCTAAGAGGTTTGGGGTTTTCATGAGAATGTAGCTACACTTCTTTTTGCACACAAATGGGGAAAGAGTAGTATGAAGGTCCTGAAGGTTATAATTTATCAGTTTCACATGTCCCAGAATGCTCTTTTATCCTGCCAGGCCAGCCTTGATTTTCTTAACATGTAAGGTCAGAGTTTCCTTAATGAATTCTTTAGGTAGTTCTGGATTAGAAGTTTGGTCCTAACTTTCCAATATTATAACTTGCAAATAAGTTTTTGATACAGTATTGACAAAGTATTTTAATGAAATTTCCTGAGTGTTTTCGATGGATCAAGGATTGGACTTGATGACCTCAGAGGTCCTTTCCACCCCAGCTGATTCTATGATTCTATGATATATGGGTGGAAAAAAATCCTAGTTTCTGTAAATTAGAGATAACTGTCAGCAACATATTCCTATATTTTCTTATAATACTTCACAGAAATATGTGTGATTGGTAATTATATTGAAAAAAACATGCTAGAGACAAAGGAATATAGCAATGTATTAGAATAATTTTTAAGGTTATGGATATCTGTATAAAAACCAATATTTTTAGCCAGTTAGCTGTTTGCTTAAAAGCAGAGTACAATCTGCATCTCTTAAAACTATTCACACTGCAGGTTGAATGGATACAGGTTTTTTTAATTTCTCCTGGGCTCACCAACTGATTAAAAGTTGGTGTCAGTGTCCTCATTTTATCCAAGACTATGGGCCTGAGTTGTTTAACCAGAAGAAGTCTGGGTTCACTCCTGTTCTCTGGTATGAACTCATAATTTCCATCCCCCTGACAGGGCTATGATCACCTTTAGGATGGTTGTTGGTTGGTCCTGCTGAGTCGTACGCACTTTGCATAATAATTAAACTTTCCCTGGAGAAGGAATTGGAATCCATGTGTTTTGCCTCCCACTCTAAGCATCAGGCTGCAGAGTCAGTATCTCTCCCACTCAGTGAATACGCAAATGTTTTGCTAGTGGCACACCATCAGCAGGAGGGGTTCAATAGCCAGTGATAGAGTAGTTCCTTATTCTATCTGTGAGAAACATTGAACATTTTTATTTATGTTTGTTCTGTAAAAAAACAACAGACCTAGGGAACACTTACTTAGTGACTATGTATGTACCAGAGCTGTAAAAGTCTGTAGCACTTCACTGAGTAATGAGGCACGGTACAAAAATACCCAAGTTAGTGCCAGCCTGATGTGATGATATCCCTTCTGAACTAGCAGAGAGACTTGCTTGGTCCCCTGGGCAATATAAATTTTAGACTGCTTCTTTGCCCAGTTTTGCTATCCCAATTACTCCTTAACAGAGTGTTGGGGAGCTTAATGATGGGAGCCACGCTATGGTACTGCATGGCACCTTCTGGAGCTGCTCCGCTTTTGCCTGGCACAGTCATCTCGGTGCAGCTCTCCCCTGTGCAGTGCTCAACCACTTATTTCAGCTGCAATCTGCTGATTTCAATCTTTTCCATTTATAGGCCATTAAAATTTACTTCCAGTTTAAACTTGGCATAAGAAGCATCATTCCATGAATGCTATTGTTTTGCTAGCCCAGAGAAATAGGGGAGGATGTAGATATTTTTATGTGCTATTTAGCATTTTTAAATGACACTATCTGTTTTATATTTTCACATAATTATAGTATTGCATTTCAGGAGATGTTAGTTCATTATAAATAGATGTTGTTTATGCTGAAGTTCCCAAACATGGCATTGTATCTGTCAATACCACTTGGACATGTGTGTGCATTAAAAGCCATCTGAATTCTGCCTAAACTGAGCCTCAGCAGGCAGGAAGAGGAAAACCCTGTTTTCCTGAAGCACCTCACCCCACATCTCCCCGTCAGCAGAGCCCAGACGGGAACGCCAAGCAGAGCAGCAGACATGCTTCTCTCCTTTCTGCCTTATCCCTTGCAGGAGCCCCATCTGTTAGGCATGAGTAACACATGCAGCCACTTTTCCTGGAAAATATTGTCATCCTCCCACTCCCACCTTCCCCTTTTTACGTAGCAAGCTAGCGCCTAAGGTATTTGTTGGAGATCAGGGAAATGTAAGTATATTCACTAAACTACATTTGTGTTAGAAATTTGATTAAAACACCTGTAATCCAGGTATCTTTTGACCAATTGCCTGAGGACTAAGCTAAAGCATTTATTCTCTCTTACTTGCTTATCTTTTCCAAGACTTTTTCCTTCTTAGCTGGGTACGCTGCAGCATAGGCTGCAGCCTTCTGCTTCCCAGCACTTGGGATGCCCCCACAATGTGGAGTGGGACACCCAGTCCTGACTGGAGACTGTGGGACTGAACCTCCCTGGCTGGGGAAGAAATGAAACCCTCTGTCCCCTACCCAGTATGACCCCTCTGTTAGCTCCCTGCCTGCCCAGAGCTGCATGGTGCTTGAGGGGAGGAAAGAGGAAGATGAGAAGGAAGAGGCCAAACATTTATGTACATGTGGGGTTTCCTATTAGCTTGCTCTGGTCTGCTCAAACACCATGTAGCTTACTGGATTATCCTTGGTAGCATCTTGGCCTCCTCACTTTGTATACAGTGAGCACAAATATCTAGTGCAGTCCAGGGTAGCCTGCTGTGGCCAGGCACCTGTATTCTGGTTACAGCAATACCTAATGTAGACACTCTTGTGATTTTTCACTCAATATAAACATGTATACACACACATGTTCAAAAATTAAAATTTAAAATTTTAATTCTGTCAGTCAAGCTCACGATTTGCTTCTTAATTGAGTCTTGTGTGGGCCCAGCTCAATAGTTATCGCTTCCTTTTTTTTTTATTTTTTCATTTTCATTTTCTTGGATTTCAGATATGACCTTTATTCATTTCTCAGCATTTTTTTTTTTGGTGCAAGACAATTTACATGCTTTTAAGGCACTGGAAATAAAAAACACCTTTCTTTCGCCTTGATTGTGAATTTGAGAGGTTGCCTTAAACTTCTCATTACTCTAATTATATTCATGGAATTTAGTAATTAATTATTTTCAAGCAACTGTGTTTGTATAAAAGACTTAGTATAAGAAAAATCATGGCTACTGATGCTGTTCTCCTTAATTTACAAAATTATTTGAAAGGCCTTTGTGCAGGGTGCTGCTAATCATTTTATATGGCATATCTTGACTTAGGTGAGTTCTTTTCATGCCATATGTTTGTAGTATCAGGAGCCCTGTTTAAAAAACTAGAATGCTTTGTCTCTGTGGCTGTTGCAGTCCAAGTAATAATTTACATATCTGTTTCTATGAACAAAACAGAGCCACTGATACCATAGACAGTAGCCAAGGTCAAATTAAATAGGATATAAAAGTCATACTGTGCACAGTTGACAGTTTGTGAACCTCACTGCTCCTTGTGAAGATCAAAATCTCTTTGCTGCTTTTAAGCAATATTTTGTGGTTCTAATTTGGCCTTTGCAGGCCAGAAGTGTGTCCATTTTGCATCTCGTCCCTGTCATGAAACTTCCATCTCATCAGAGTCTTCCTAAAACAAAGTGCTGACATAGCCACTGCTGTCAAGCTGAGTGTCCCAGTGACCCCTGGCTGCTACAGATGCTTTCAGCCCAAGTTTGAAGGAGGGTTGTGTTTCTCCAACTGTGTAGCATAGAGAATGTTCTTTTACCATGGCATTATATAAGTGACCCTGAATTCCACCACAGTTCACCATGTTATTGGTGAATTGACATAGATAAAATGCAGTATTGTTGTGTCTTTGCCTTTACTTTAGGTGAGATTATTGTAATGAACTGTTAAAGACTTTTGCTTGAAATTCACTTGTAAGGTCCACCTGGCGTAAAGAATATTTGTCTGCCCCCATAATGGGATAAGCCCTTTACTAGTGCTCTCATTGCACTGAATTTCATTTCAAGGTGCAGTAAGGATATTGAGAATTAATATTTGGAAGAAAGTTTAAATGTGCTATATTTAAAGATGTCTGGGAGATGCATACTTACTGTTTATCTTAGATAGAGTTGTATGGGAGAATTAGTTACATGCTCCTGTCATTTAAAATATGTTTGCTTTCTGGTTACTAAGGAGGCCATATGAAATAGATTGTAAGGGTGACTTTAAAATTTGATAGCTAATTTCTGGGTTTGAGTGTTGTAGCTGGGCTGCCAGCATTTCATGATGATTGTCATAGTAGATCTAATTATTTTTATGACTCTCATGATTTGCAAATACAATTTATTGGAGTTTAATGTTATAAGTTCACTCCAGTTATGCCTCTCCAGTACATAAGAAGGGACATTATTCTAAATAGACAGTATTCATGGAGGTGGGAAGATTGCAAAGCTATTACTGTGCTGCTTTGAAGATACCCCTCTGTCACTGTTCTCAGCTCCCTATTTTAACTATCAGTGACATTTGTGTTACTATCCCCAGATGACATTTTGAGTTCTTTGCTTACTTTGGACAAACGTCTGAGAGAAGATTTGTGTTGAGTATCTTGTTGTGAAGGAATCTATGGGTATAGAATTAGGTTTTTGAGAGATGTTACTAAAGAAAGATGAAAACCAAAGCTATAGCATTAGATAAAGCTTTTGTCATCTAAAAAGAGAAGCTACTATTATGTAACTAACTGGCACAATCTTATGTGTAAAGCTAGAATTCAAAGAAGATTTCAAGTGAAATGAAAGCTTTTCCAGATGCTGAAGAAGTGCTCTAAGAAACAGGAGATAGGGACCTCTTCATCAGTCTCTGGCATTTTTCCCATCCATTCTTGAGTGGAGAAGTAGAGGCACATATATCAGTTCACCAATCACGCAGTGTAGTTCCTTGACCTTCTCTCCTACATTCAAGTTTAGAAAAATAAGTACTGAAATACTTTTTAGTTGATGAAAAAGATATCTCTCCATCTTCAGATTCAAGTGGAAACTATTGGTTCATAGAGCCATAGTTACCTGCAGTGATTGCCCTGGGCATATTTCACAATAGAACATATTCTGAGGCATGCTCTGGCAAAGGGTGATTCAAAAAGTATAGCAGGAAATCTAGTCCACAGAGATGTGTTCTATAGTGGCAGAAAAGTGCCTCCAGCGGTGTAGCAAATACTGCTATCCCAGAAAAAATTATGATACGATGGCATAGAGGCAGATTTTGCTGGTAATAAATTGTCTTGAACAAGGGTTTTTTAGCAGTCTGGAATGGTCTTAAAATGATACATTAACTGATATTGTTATACTGACTGAAGTGTTGAGCCTGGTTTGAAATTGCAGGAAAGGAATCCAAACTCGTCATCAGAACAGCAGGACAAGTTATCTCTGATATGTTTATTCTAGTTGTCATTTGGACTTAAATTAGGCATAGATTATTGACTATCTTCTACTAAAACTCTGAGACAACTGTGTTCAGTGATTTCAGCAGTATCTCTACACAGCAAAGTTGCAGAAAATGTAATCGTGAATGTGTCAAGAACCATCAGTTCTGCCTTAAAAAATGTGGTCCTAATTCAGACAGCAGCTGGGCCACAGTGTTTTCATTGACCAGCAGGAAAGCATGCACCAATGCTTTCCATATGCCATGCACACCTCACAATGTTTGCTGTTGTAAATGACTGATTGGCATGTACTCACCCAAAACTGGAGATAACTACAAACATTTGGAAGTGACCTCAAATAGATCCAAAACAGTGTCAACCTCCTCCAATAAAGGATATCATATATAGATTTTCTGGTGACCATTTAGATGTTACTTCATTTATAAAATGACCATAGCAATCACCTATTGATCTGGAACCAAAACACTGAGCTAAACTAGCTGAGATGCCTTGCTCTCTCTTGGAAATTTTGCAGCTTTATTATGGTACCTGATTTATTCAGTTGCTGTTCTAAGATATCAGAAATCAATCTCTTCACATGTCTTGAAAGATACCCTCCCTAGACAGATCACATAGGTTGTGTTTCCAAGCAAAAGTAAAGCTTTTGCCAGTACAATGGATAAAAGGCTGATAGTGTAATTTCAAGAAACTCTATGAAGTTTTTGGTATCTCTTATTGACCTTTAAGTTTCTGTTGGTTGTCTTCTAATATTTACCTTGAACAGGCAAGATATCTAATCTGATTTTGGTTCATGGAGTGTGCACGACCTTTAAAGGGAAACCTTTATGAATTACTGCCTTGTCTACCTGATAACTTTCTTTGCAGACTTGCACAAATCACCCAGCTTCTGTAATTTCTCAGCCTATAGCAAAATTTGAGCACGAAAATGTGATTCCATTTCAAGGATGATTTTGCTATTACAAGATTCAGTTTTGTTTCATTGGGGAATGAAGACAGTTTCTACACCACTTGTGAAAGTGGATGCAGCACATCTGTCTTGGAGAGGTTTGCCCTGGAAAGTACTGCCAATCAGGCAGGGTGCTGCGGAGCTGGGAGCATGACTACCAGAAGAAGAGAAGATTTTTCTCTGGGAAAAATCACGTTTCCAGATCTTCTGGGGTTGTGAGGAAGTTACCATAGCATTATTTGGATTATTGAGTTATTTCTCCTGAAAAAGTGTTTTACACATAATAATCAAAATTTTTACATGGTACCATACTGAGGCCAGTATATGAAGGAAACTGTTTTCCAGAGCTTTGATAAGTTGAAGTAAATGGAAAAACATGAGTTTCTGCTAATACAGGCACTTCAGTTTCTGCTAATACATGCCTACCTCAGGCACTCCAGTTTGAGCAGACTGGTTACTGTGTAAGATTAAAGTCTGAACTGAAATTATTTACATGTAGGAAATTCGTGGCATAGCAAGATTACTGTTTGATGCAGCAGGCATTCATACTTCTTTTTTCCTTACATACATGGTCTGAGGTTTTGTAAGAAGGCACTAACAGTATCTCTCCAGTCTGGAACGGCAGGAGTGGGTGAGGTGAAAGAGGCAGGCAGTGCTGCCTGCAAAGGCAGCAAATTAGGGATGAAATGCTCTCATTAATGTTGCATTCATTACTGTAGTGGGCCAGGGACATGCACGGATAACAACTCCTGCAACAAGAGGAGGAGCAACACACCAGTCTACAACATTTTTTACATTTCTTCAAACTAATCACCTCTTAGTATTTTTGTAACTCTAATTTTCTGTTTCTCTGCAGCTGAAGTTCAAAGTGAAATTGAACGGATTTTTGAATTAGCAAGGACACTGCAGTTAGTAGTGCTTGACGCTGATACCATTAACCACCCAGCTCAACTAAGCAAAACCTCTCTGGCTCCCATTATAGTATATGTAAAGATTTCTTCTCCTAAAGTAAGTATTGTAGTCGCCTTCATGCTCTTTCAGTCTTTTTTTTTTTATTTTATTTTTTGGTCTTAAGTTCAGATAACCACGTGTCTTCACTCAAGTTCAGAAGCTATATATTGTAATTGCTTCTCTTTGGATCGTGAAGTATTACTAATCAAAAAGGTATCTCAGATCTAGTGTTAGCAAGATCCATTTTGGAAAAGGTGCTGTAGCTCCAATGGACTTTTTAATTGGGATTGCACTTTTAGTATCAATCACGTTAAGTAATGCTAATGGTTTGTTGAATCAAAATAATACAGAAATGAAAGAAATATTTTCACACGATTGTTAAACTGTAACATCTTTCATTCCTTGAAAAAATCATGCACAGACCTTGCGAAGAGGCATTTGAAAGAAAAGAATGAATTTGTGGGAAGAGAACTCAGGAGATCGGTTGAAAAAATTCAACTTAGAAAAAAAAATAGAAGGAGCAGAGCAAAGTAGGAGGGGGACCTTTTAGTGACTGTAACAAAAAGATGTCTGGAAGTTAATTTGCTGGCTTTAGGAACATTTCTCATGCTCTTTAATCCAGAATGAGCTAATTTTCATTAAGATTTTGCTCTGCTCAAGTGAGCAGTTTAAAATGTAAACATTTTAAGTGGTTATATATGTACATGAAGTCTGAACTTGGTCACTTTCATTAATGCCTTACTTTTCACAGGTTTTACAGAGGTTGATAAAATCTCGAGGGAAATCTCAGGCCAAACACCTTAATGTTCAGATGGTGGCAGCTGATAAACTGGCACAGTGTCCTCCCGTGAGTTACTGTTAATTTATGTCTCGTCTTTGAAAGGTGCCTTTCTTTTCAAGCACAAGGTTAATTGCATAATTTTCAGGAATGTTTGCCCTCTTCTGGCCATACTTCACTATTGCTTTTTTGCAGAATGCCTCCTGAGGTCTCTGGGCTCATCACAAGGGTGCAGGCGAGAAAGAGTCCTAGTCACAAGCAGTTATTAGGATGTGTGCTGATACATTCAGTGCTTCAATAAACTGAATATTTGTTTTACTTGACAATTTTATGGTGTTTTTGGTCTAAAATTGAACCCTCCCAGTGACTTTGCTTTATCTCTGGTAGTTTAGGATAAGGCCAATGGTTTCAGTAGCTCCCCTGGGGCATATATCACCATGGCCACTACTGTTGATGTTCTTGGTCACAGTTTTGGCAAAGAGCTCTGCAGTTCTTCTGGTGATATGCACTGAAGTAAATTGTCTCAATTTCCGCTATAAAGCAGAGGTGATGAGACCCCAACTGTGTTTTAAATGTGACATGCATTGCTACCAGCATACTCAGCTGTCAAGAGTATGGGTAAGAGACCAGAAAATGAAGGTTCAGTTCAGTGACCTTCATAGAGACCTGCACAAGCCCTCAAAGATGCCTTCTGGCTCCCTGAACAGGGAGGAAGTGGAGGAGACTCACCTCCTAACTTCAGAAGCCTAAAATTAGACCATGTGACTAATCTCTTGCCTAGTATTTGTACGACACTTGGAAACTGAAGTATCTGTATTACTTGTGTTTCTTACAGTTGTTAGTTATTGGTCTTAGTTTGTCTTAGTGTTCTCTTAGTTATTCTAGATATGGGGAGTGATCCCTTTTCTTGCCATTTCATTTTTTTCCTATAGCTAAATACTTCAATATTTAACACTTCTTTTTGTATATTTGAGTTTTAAGATTTGTTCAAGCTGCTTCTTCATGTCTTCATTGATCGTTTGTTCATTACTAAGTGGAAGTCATGAGGACTTGTTTTAGCAACATTATTGCTAGTCATGATTGTTGTCTTTTGTATCAATTGCATTCAGAAAAACAAAAAACAAACAGCAACAACAACAACAAAACCAAACAAAAAAGGTAAAATATCTTAATACAGGTACTAGAAATGTGGTTCATTTTTGATGACTAGAAAGTGTGGTCAATGTTGCTAGCTGATGTCCCTTTAGCTGGTGATTATTCTCACTAAAACCTCTCCTTTATCAGGAAATGTTCGATGTAATTCTTGATGAGAACCAGCTTGAAGATGCTTGTGAGCACCTTGCTGACTATCTGGAAGCCTACTGGAAGGCTACACATCCACCTAGCAGCAATCCTCCTAACCAGCTTCTCACTCGCACACTTGCAACAGCCACTCTTCCTATTAGCCCAGGTCCAAATATAAATTTACAGGTACAGTTTTTATACTATCTCTTCTTTTTTTCTGTCAACTTCTTCCTCTTCCAAAGCACAGTGGTAGGCTGATATGCTGGATATGTTTCACTGTTGTTGATAGAGTAAGATCTTTTTCAGTGAACAGTCAACCATTTTCAATATAAAAGGCAAACACAAGCACACTATTGTTATTGCTGTTGTATTCATAGTAGCATGTGTTTGTGTACTGACCAGGGGGCTGGTTTTGATTCCAAGGACTTAGCCAGCCTGACTGAAAACATATGTTGATGTGAAGTGGAATACTTCAGGTTTTATTGTGCCCAGGACACCACTGTGCCAGTAATATGTGTACCAGCCACAAGCATTTTTATAGCTGGCCATATGTAATCCAGTCAGAGAAATAAAAATGGGCTAATACTATGCACATTACAGCCTCTGGTAACTCTCTGACTGATGGGCAGACTATTGCTAACAGGCAAATCCCAGCCCCAGAGACCCTGCATGACAAATTGGGTTATGTACAGAGCAGATCCACAAATTTTGGAGGGAAATCTGTTCCAATCTTCCCATAGGCTATAGAGTTAAAGAGGTTGAGAATGACTGACTCTATTAGTAAAGTCTCAAGGTCAAAGTGGCCCTTCCAGTGTTTCCTTTGTTCTTTTATTCACTGGCCACTGCTGTGAAAAGTACATATTTCCTTCAAGCCAAACACTGACATAAAACTTGAGTCCTGCTGCACATGTTGTGCAGAAAGACCTTGAGAGGCAATATGTTCTGAACAGCGAGGACACTGTCTAGTGAGCTGAGAAAAACAGGCATTATTCCCACCTCCGCACTGATATGCCCATTGATATGGGCATATTATGTCCCCTCTATTCTCCTTCAACTTTTGGTTTGTATAATTATATTAAGGTGCTCAGCATAAGGAGATGCTGTCATTTGGATATTTGTTGCATAAAATGAGGTCTTTAAAGATGATACTTAATTGTAAATAGTGAGTGTTGCCTTGAGGCTGAGAAGATCACAGTTGGGCTTATAATACATCTGTCCCAGATAAAATAATGGCTTAATACATCTAAATTTCTACCTGAGTTCCATATATGCCCATAAGTTACATACATATGCAAGTTGCAATTCATAACTTTGGCTAAGAAAAGAGCCTCCTTTTAGAAAATCAAAGAAAAAAATGTATCTGCACCTCAATTAAAATACAAAAAAAATGGCGGGGTTTTTTGTTATGGTCTTGCAAAACCATTTTTTGTGTCAAAGAATTTATTTCCCATTAGAAAACCACAGACTTTACAGTTTTGTTCTTTAACAAGAAAAATTTCTCTAGCCACTTTGAAGGGTATCTCTTCTCTTGCTTTCAAAAGCAGTTGCAGGAAAAGAGACTGTAAGCTATAGTTCATTTCTGCCTTTTTTTCTGTCCTCAGAGCTGAAACACCCTGAAAAAATTGTGAACTGGAAGAATTTCTGAGTATGAAATTCAGTTTTATTGTGTGCAGACTTGCTAGATAAACTTTTTTTTGCTTTGTAAACTTTTTAATTATTTTGCTCAAGTTTTTTTATGCCTTTTGGGTGTGGATTTATAGTTCACTTACTCATTTTATTAACCACGTTCTCTGGAGAAACTATTACAAGAGTTTTAATAACACTTTTCTGAATGTTGTGCTATCTCCTTACAAACTAACATTTTTATTTTAAGGACTAAAAATGAGAGTGTATTTGCAGTGTCACAGTTTGTTTGTAGGTCTACTAATGCAGAAGTGTGAATCAACAGGGGTCCCTTATGGAACACAAAACTTTTACATTGTTTTGATTTCATTTTCCTATGATACATCTTCAACTGACATCTCAAGCCTGAGCCAGTCACTGTCTTGGCACAGAGTGGATTTATTTCCTTATCATGGTGGCATAACCCGTTCTCTCAACAGTGTTAAGATCCTCTATTTAGAGAATTTAAAGTGTCTGCCTGTGCTGTTTTTGTGGACTGCTCTGCTGGGAAAGGCCAAACCACCAGCTGTTTGGCCTGGAGGAGCCACATCTGCACTGCAAAGCATTGGAGTCATCCTCCCCCGGGTCCAATGCAGTGCCCCTTTGCCATGAAACATACTTGTTTTTTGTGATTTTTCAGTCCTGGGTGTACATTGTAAAGAGGGATTTGTGTTGCCAGCTGCCAGAGTTGTGTTTTTATAGAATGATCCTGACTGTGTTGCACGGCACAAGGTGCTTGAAGGTGTGAGGCCTCCTGGGACTGTTTGAAATTAAATTAGCAAAGACCATACACCTCCTGTCCACCTGATGGAGAGCTTTGGAGCAAACTTGTGTGGAAATTGTTGGCTAATTCCAAAAAGACTGGAGCAACCTCGCACACACACAGTGCAGGCGATCAGGGACCACTGCATGGAAATAAGGAGCAAGGCAAATTCACTTGGTGGACGTAGACTTCTCTCTCCTCTTTCAGCGCTCCTTGAACTTCTTTCTAAGAACCTCTACTTCTTTGAAATTACAGCCTAAATAATGAAATAGGCTTATCTCAAACTTTCTCCATTTTAGACAAAAAGCCTTATGAGACTGGGCCATAAAATTCCAGCACAGCAGAAGCTAATCCAAATCAGAGCCCTAATGTGGTTATGAACCACAAAGCCAGACTCTAATCCAGATTCAAACATTACCTGTTCAGTGTCCCTGTAATATTTATGGGCAAATGAATTTGCCCATAAAATCCAACAGCCTTACACTATTTTGAAATTGCAGGTACTGTCTAAATTCATTCCTTATGCTCCTTCACATGTACTCATCATAGCAGAAAAGATGCATCTGAGCTTGTAAAAGTAGCACGGTGTTCAAAGCAGGTTCACATTTTGCATTTGCTCTCAAACCACAGCAATGATGGCTTTTAGTAGTCCTGATCATATACAGGTACATACATATGTGTCATTTGACCATATGAGAATGAAAGGGTTTCATATGTATACCAAGTTTATGTGCCTTAAAAACAGTCGTGGTGATGAACTGATAAAAACTGTGTTTACACATTGAAGCAGGCACTGCTTTGGACTCTTTCACTTTTCACTTGATTTCGTTTAAAATTCACCTCTGTTGAGTCATTTCATTTCACCTTGAACACATCTATTCATGTTTACAATTACTACATTCCTTTCTGGCAAATCAGAATCATCTTGAGAATCATAAGAACAAGAACGAACAAGAAATTAGACTGCTGTTCCTGTTACCTTGTTCTCATCTATACCATTTTTTCCAAATTAGGAACACATAGAATAAGCCATCTAGTCACTGGGAAGTTTACAGAATAAAATGCTTTCTTAGAAAATTTAAATTGGTCAAATTTATCAAATTGCTGATTTGAAATATGTTGCTTTTTATAAGTTTCTGATGAAATACAGATTTTTTTTCTTGTCCAATTTCCTGTCATTTTACTTTTTGGGTTGCTAGAAAACCCACCTGCCAGGATCTGTGGCTGAAGGAAAAAATTTTCTAGCTCTTTTCCACAAGACATCAGGAAGATACGTCCATGAACTTTCCTGGAGGCAATCCTTATTTTTAGACATCTCTGAACATAGAAGGACAAACTTAAGCCTAACTTTGGTAAATTCAGAGCAGTCTCACAAACAAATGCCTCTGTTAAAACCCATTTTAATTTTGTGCCAGCAGGGATGATTTTGTCTTGACATTCTTCACCTCTTACGAGAAGGATAATTCAACTTCAACATAAAATATTTCTTAAAATTGTTGCAATTAAGCTTTAAAAGTCTTTGGCTGTGGTTTGGCAATAAAAGCAGGTTAATGTAATGAAACACCCAGATGAGTTAAATAATGCCACTTGTTCGTTTTGCAGTGATTTCAAAGCATTATGCGGGTGAAGAGTAGGTTTATTACCTGGTAATTTTTATTTAAGTCTTTTAATAGCAGTTGTGTGTTAGGAAATTCTGTATGTGATAATATCACTCTCCTCCTGGTTTTCTTGGCAATGTTCTATATTCTCAAGCTCTAAAAATTATAAGGTCAAAGTTTAATTTTTCATTACCATGAAGAAATGAAATGATTGCTGAGAAAACAAAAGGTCAGTGATACTATTAGTATCATAATACAAACTTTATTCATACCAGATTCAATTGCTTTTTTTTTCCTAAAAAAATAAGTTTTTCTAAAAGAGCCATGGTTTTGTACTTTGATTCTTTGGTGGAATCAACCTCCTCAGCCCACTAGAATCACTTTCCCATAGTGGCTGTTTCCAAGCAGACATCTGTAAACTCTCAACTGATACCTGCCCTTTCCTGGCATGATATGTCCTCTCTAATTTTTCTGCAGTTTGTCTTGTTTCTGTATGCTCTCTTTTTGTTTGGAGGGTGGTGGCACTTATTGCTAACTGGAATAGTCAGAAACATCACAAGAGACGTGAAAGTGTCATAGAATAACCCAAGTGTCACCCTCCATTCTGATGAGAGTGAAAGGAATTGTTTGTATTATAATACTGAATTTTCAGTAAAAGTTTAATTCTAATGTTTTTTTTCTAGTTTAGATTCAAAGTGGATTGTTGTGTACTCGAATTTTATTGGTTTCATGGTACTTTCTAGTTGAATTTGATATTGGAGAAAGTTTTTCAGTGTGTATCTCATGTACATGAACTTACTGCTGGTTCTGATAGCAGGGATCTCAAGGAGACCAGAGGAATGACCATTCGGTCCCTGAACGCAGTGGTTCACAAATTGAAGAGGAAGCACGAGTTGAATCCATCAAGAAATCCCAGCACCGCTCTTCCTCAAGCCAACACCACAACCATCGCAGTGGTGGTAGAGGCCTTCACAGGCAAGAAACTTTTGACTCAGAAACACAAGACAGCAGAGATTCAGCTTATGTAGAGCCAAAGGAGGACTACTCACATGACCACGGTGACCACTATGATTCTCACAGGGATCATAATCACAGAGACGAGTCCCATGGGAGCAGTGATCACAGACACAGAGAATCAAGGCATCGCTCAAAGGAGAGGGACCGCGAGCAGGACCACAATGAATGCAACAAACAGCGTAGTCGTCATAAATCAAGGGACCAATATTGTGACAAGGATGGGGAAGTGATATCGAAAAAACGTAATGATGCGGGAGAATGGAACAGGGATGTTTACATCCGTCAGTAACTTTTGCCTCTGGCAGTCTTGTGTTTCTTTGAAGTCTTGTAACAATGCCCCTTGAAAATATGTTTGGGTTCTTCATTGCAGAACATATGGTATCCTTCTGTATGCTGATTTGTATTGCTGTTGCTTGCATAGCAATAGCATGAAATAGAATATTCATATACTTATTTTTTTGGTTAGTGCTATATGAATTAGTGTGGTACAACTGAAGAGTTCCTGATGTTGTACTATGACATTTTTCAAGCTGTTTTTGGTAGCTGCCACTTGAACAATATCTGTTGCCATCAAGGTGTTGTTAGTGTTTTTTAAAAAAAAGGTACATTTGATGTTTAATAACTTCCCGTGTATTCAGCAAGCCAGGATCAGCACATAAAAGAATCTAAAACTTTTTGTCTGCTCTGATTTTTAATTTGTATGCACTTGATTTGCATATTGATTTAAGCACCACTCTGTCGCTTGTACCTCTGGTGGTCTCCATATGAAGACAGAATTGTCTTGCCTTACACACAGGGGATCATGGAGTCAAAATCTATTTTCTATGTACTGGTACTGTGTACTGTATATACAGTTTATAAATGTTATTTCTGCAGACACCTTCTTACTATATAAGTTTGATCACACTGTTTTAGAGTCCTAATGCCAAGTCAGCAGATTTGCTTTTGAATTACTGGCAACTGGAACTAGCCTCACTTAGGAAATCTGTAACAGTGTTCAATCTAAATACTTCTTCTTCTGTAGCAGAAAGCTTATACTTATTGTAAATACGGATGAGTGCTTGAGATAAAGGGTGTAACTCTTTTACCTTATGCTGTCCTTGCAAACCCAATTTTGAATTTCAAGGTTATGGTAAAGATAATGACTTACCACTCAAAATTATTCTTCTCTGTTCAGGTCACAAGATTGCAATGGGCACAGCTTAATTTTTGTTCTATTGTCAGTATACTAGAGCACACATGTTGGAGGTGTGTATGTGAGTGGTGGGTGATGGGCGTACGTGTGCGTGTGCACGTTAGGCAGTGAAGTGTGAGAATCTACTGAAGAAAACAATGGTTACTCAACAGCCCAAAAAGTCTGTTTCTTCATTCTGTCTGTTAATTTAAAAATCCAAATTGCAGTCAGGGAATATGAGGGAGTTTACTGACCCAAGTAACTGGGAAAGTAGAAATCTGCTGGCTCTTTGTTGAGACTTTAGGAGAGCAAAACCAGGCAAATGTTACTGTGAGTTTCACTGGAAATGTAAAATCTTTGTTTTAGAGTATTTGTTTCAGCAAGAAAAGTTTACACAGCTTGTGGAGAGATATTTTGTTGGAAAATAAATTTTTGTAGCTTCTCCACTTTTTCTACACTTGCCAATTCCTCTGCATTCCCACACTGCAGCTAGCTCACTGCTTTTCCTTCACCTAAGATGTTGTGCCGCTGGTGAGAGCATGGAAGAATGACTGTGACAAAATGCTTTGTTAGGAGCTTTCTAGAGAAAATGCATTGAAATCAAAGGGAGTGAACAGTTTGTTTTGCATTGAACACCTGTTGCACTGGTAAGTGGGGGCAAATTCACTATTATTTTTGACTCCAGGTTCCATACCCTTGCCTAGTGTAAAAGCTGTTCTGCATCACATATAGTCTTTGTAGTACTTGTATGAATGAAATACTTTTTGTATTTCCCTGTAAATAGCACGTTATATAAAGACTGTAGTGCGATAATAATTAATTTAGCTGGAAGTTCTTTTTATTTATTATTTAAGTTCTGGGAATATCAGCATTGCCTGATTTTGAATATCATTTTAGTGAAATGGATAAGATATATGGCAGGTGCATGTTTTCTCCAATCTCCTATCTCAGCATCCAAGTAATTCAGTTTAACTCCTTCAAACATCCTCTGTCCTTCCTCTCCCTCTCCCACCCCTCTCCCTGATGCTTTATAAGCATTTTTTACAACAACCTGAGAGTAAGAAATTCTGCTGTCAGATATATGGCCATTCCTCCCAGTGCTGCTGACTCTTGTCGTTATTCAAGGGTAGGTTTTGGCTCAAAGCATGAACTATGGGGAACACAAGAAAAAGGGTTATTTTTCTAGAAATAAAATTCTCATCATTTTTCTAAACATCACTATATGACTTTGTAGACAAAGGAAGAATAGGTAAGTAGATCTGTTGTATTAGTAAATGGATATATAAGAGTACGTAAACAGTGGCTTTTGATACAAGAGAATTTTCAGGGTATCTGTGAAAAATAACATTGCAAGACTTTGTTGTTTGAATCATATCAGATCACATGTAAGTGGGAAGAGAAGTTATATTGTCTTGCTCTATATTGCCTGGCTTTAGCTAATTTACCAGCTTCAGTAAATGCTGTTGCTCCCTACAACTCATGATGGCTATGTCCTCTAAGAAGTGATTCCACTTCAATACCTTGAATATTTTGTTCTTTTTCTGTTGGGTTTTTGGTTTGGTTTTGGGTTTTTTTTGTGTTGGTTTTTTTGTTTGTTTGTTTTTACTTTTGCTCCAGAGAGTATTTATTTTTCACCTTTCTTAAAGTATTTTTATGGAATATTTGGCAGAATTTCAAAGCACTGAGTAGTATATGAAAACTATGGAGTAGGTAGCCATGTACAGACATAAGAAAATAAAGAGCATAGTCCAAACACTAGTATTTAAGTATGGCCTATATATTGATTTATGGAGTATAAACATCACAAAAAAGGACAAGTCCCAATCCAGCTAGTCATAGAAACATGTTTTGTATAGTGCTGCTGATTATGTACAGACAACGTACTAACAAAAACGCATATTTCTTAGACAGACTCACTGAATAGGTTTTTATTAGCCTTGCTAAGATACTTTCCTTCAGTTACTGTTTTAAGAGTGAGAAATCATTTGTAATGTGAGCTTGTACTACATATATTGCACAATACCACCTGCCTGCTGAGCACTACTTTGAAAAGCACTTTAACAGAGTTATGTCAATAAGAAGCTTTAAATATACTCCAGCTGGAGAACATATCAAAGGTTATTGTGATGAAATGTCTTTGCAAAGTTATGCCAATAGAAAGTTTAATATTATTGTTTGCATTAGGATACTAATGAGTTTGTATTTCTATATCTGGTTTCAGGGTTTTGAATCTGAGAAATGGTAGAGGTCCCAGTGAGCTCCAGAGTCTTCTTATGTATGTGTGGTACGAAACAACCTGTAAAATTTCTGTTCAAATGAGCTAAAATATAATAAAATCAGTGAAACAAAAGGAAAGGGGAGGAAGATAAAATAGTTAAGTGATATGTTAGTCTTGGCAGCTGTAACTCTATATTTTTCTAAAAAAATTCAGTACCTGGAAGGAATGAGATGCATTTCCAAATTTGCATGTATATATGTTAGACGTTAACCTTATTTTTGTGTGGCTTTTTTTCAAATGAATATACATCAGTGCTGAGTAGCCTGAGTCTATTTTTACCAGTTGTTTAGTGTCACACAGACATCATGGAAGAAAGAATTCTTGAGGAGGGACTGGAAGGAGGTGACAGTAACAGTCTCCAGACCAGCTAAGGGACAGGACAGTGGGGAAGAATAAGAAAAGAGTTTTGTACACAGAGGCAGCATCAGTAGGAGTTAGGAGCTGAAAGAAACTATTTTTATTAAATCAATCCATAAATTATTGCCTAGAATTTAAAGAATTCTTCTAGAATGCTCATGAATTCATATTCTGTGTCTGGCATCCGGAGTTCAGAATTTGAAGAGAGTTCCGTAATTTTTGCTTCTCAATGTATAAAATTAAGGCTTTGGACCTATGTAATGAAGATCAGTTTTAAAGCCACAAAGAGTTTCAGTGGAGCACCTCTCTTCACAGAAATCTGTAAACTCTTGACCTATATCCCTTATTATAAATGGAGGATAAGGAAATAGAATTCCACTCACCAAACCCTGAATAAAAGTGCAGACCCCTTCTTACTTCTCCCTGCATATCTGGTTACTCATCCTGTACATGCAGTTCCTGCCCAGGTGTAATACCCTGTTCCTTAATACTTTCTGTCTTCTATGAATTTGTTAGTAAATATAATTTTTAAGCTCTGTTGTAAAGTCATGCTCACGTTCTGTGACACCTGCAAAGGTTTTAATGGGGTCCACTATGATTCCCTCAGCTGGAATGAAGGGAGTGGTCAGACTGCTTTTAATCAATGCCTGTTCAAAGTAAAAAAGTTGGTATAAACCACCTCCTGTGTTTGTTAGTTACTAAAGACTCTTCAAGATTTATTTTGGTTTGTGGTTATGTTTGACCTCTGATTACTTTAACACATCAGGTTGACAGCTATTTCCCAAATGTTTTTGACTTAAATTCTTCTCCACCCATGAAAATCAAGCACATTGCAAAAAACTTGATTACACAGTCTAAAGGAAAACAGAGAAATTATTTTTCAGAGTGTAATATAACATTCCTGGTGTACATTTACTTATATTTATTACTTTATTGCAGATCTTTCACCAAAATTTTAGTTCTTCTATCATCTGTAAAATATGGATGCCATTTTTACTGTGAATGTTTTTAATCAAATGTTATTCAATCAAATTTACTGCTTGGCAATTTGTCTGTAATTTATTTCCCCAGTTTTATATAACAAACTGTTACATATGAGCTTACAGTAGTTTTATAGACAGTTTCTTTTTATAACTTACCATGCTAGAAATGTGTTCCTACGCAGACTCAAAAAAGATTTATATCAGATATAATAGAGATTAAGCCGGTTCTTCTAACTTATCCGTGTTCTCATTTCTTACTTTATTCTTTATCTATCATGCTATCATGCAGTACAAAATTGGATTTGTTCATAAACTTTTTAGTCAAGAACAATCAAACATAAAAAGAAGGTTCTTTATATTTTAAACTACCCACTCCAAAGTAATTTCTTGTGAATCACCATCACCAGCCTATTTTTTACTAAAATACTCCCTTTACCTTAAAAAACATATGAAATCCTGTGATCCAAAAAATGGTGCATTCCATAACACTGAAACAGGAAAAAGCTGTATAATAATTTCCTAATATATGAGGATGCCTATTTTAGTATCTTTATATTGACCAAGATGAATATTTAGATTTGGCACTATTACTAATCACTCTTTCTGCAAATAGAGAAAACTACTTTTCAGACTTTCTTACAGACAGGATCTGATTGCATGCCTAATCTATTTTGTAGGATTAATCTTTCATTACAATGACAATAACAATAACTTTTTAAATTTATTATATAAATATCTCATATAGTATATATAAGCACATATATATATATATATATTCAAATGTGCTTCAGCACCAGTCACTGAAGTATAATTATTCAGTGTGTAAAGATTCTTATAGGAAACTAATCCTATTATGTATTTAAAACATATATACACTATACATCAGAAATATGTCAATGAGAAAGCATTCCTACACTTCTAGTTAAAGTCACAGTAAGATTGGAAAAGGAGAAAAAAAAAGGGCATTCATCCAACTTTAGTCATCTAAATTAGCCAAACCTGTAGTCAGAGAAAGGATGCTGGCTCCTTCAAGGTATGATCTGGAGCATCTCAATTGAGTTTCTGTTCTGAACTGCATGACAAAGTCTCTCCCCAGCTACAAAAAAGAAAGCGGCCTCGTGCAAGGAGCTGAGGCTTATCCCTTTAATATGCTGAGTGCTCTTTTAAGTCTAGCAGTTGACTTTTGCAGAAACAAACCTATTAGTTAAAGTTCATCTATCAGTAATTTTCTTCAGGTGAAGTCTGGTCTGCAATTACACTGGAATCAAATAGAAGTTAGTTACTTTTTCTTCCCACTCCTCACCCCCAAGAAATTTCTCATATAAAATCAAGTGAGGTCACCTTCTTGAAAAGCCTGTTTATCATCCAAAACTAAAGAAATCTGGGAAAGTCTCAACAAATCTTCCACTAAAAATTCAGCAATCTTAATTCCTTCAAATTCTGCATTGCACAAATCCTGCTACTGAAACTGGAGGTAAAGTTCCTTACTTTATATATATATATATACAAACTTCAGTATATAGTCTGTGTGTGCTGATTAACGTTTACAAAATTTATATATTCTGCAAAAAAGAAAATGCTTTTTTACTAGAACTGAGTTAAAGATTTCAACACATACTAACAATTTGTTACCAGGTAATTATTTTAGCCATATTTAGACTAAAAAGACTGTAATTTATAGTACGAGCTTTCATGATTCTAAATAGGATATCTCACCTACTACTGATGAAACAAAATTACTTTAAATCTTCTTTAGATATGTTGTGTTTAATGGCAAGGAGTGACCAACAAAAGCAGAGTAGTAGACAAGAATTCCATCCTCCTATCCTTACAGAGGATGTACTAGTCAACCTTGGCAGAACAGAAGAAGAGACATTTGATTTTTATTTTAGAAGAGTAGAAAACATACAGTATCAAAACATTTATAGAAAATATAAGTAAACAACCAGACTACTGAGAAACAAATCTATAGATTGTTTTGATTGCAAGCAAATACAAATGCACTTCTGACAGCAGAAAGACAAATGATAAAAGAACTATTGCTCTTTTTAATCCAACAAATAGCTATGTGTGAAAAGACAGACATTTTTCAGATAATGTTTTTTAAAACTGGAAATTGATGAGAGAGAGGAAAGAAACAAACACACACAGATGTCAGTTTACGTTTTTGAATTGTACTTACCTTTCCTTCTAATTTTAGTGCTATTGTCAGTTCCAGCAGGACTGAGAAAAGAGAATACTGTTCAAACTGGAACCGAAGCAGAATTTTCAAATACATCTTTAAGAAATTTAGGTTATTAAATCTTTGAGCAATGTATTAAGGCAGTTCTCATTAGCATGCTTCTCCAGTTTCAATTTTCACATGATTTTAGCTGGTGATGCTTTCTAACCAATAAAGAGTTAATATTCTTAGTTGTTTGAAAGATGATTTGCAACATTTCAGATGGTATTATGCATTGTTTTCTGTCTTTTAATATATTAATCACAACTGTAGCCCCTTCTGTTGCAAATGTTTGATTTTAAAATTGTCACTTGTCAGCCAGTCCAGTAGGCTATTTCAGAACCAATACAGTTTATGCATGGGAAGTTTGATGTTGAAACAATATTTATTTACATTCCCAGAGTGAGATGGTTTAATATATTCATGCTGCTATAAAAGACATGCTACAAAGCCTAATCGTATTTTGTGTATATACTATGTGTACAGAGAATCTTGCTTGTATTAAAATAAAAGAGAAATGAGGTTCTAAGTATCAATTTATAAAACAGTTCTTTGTAACATGTTACAGTGTTTTGTGAAGCACTATTTAATGAAATATTAACTATTGGTAAACCTCCATAGAAACTTCCTTTTCAAATATTCATTATAATAGCTCCCATTTATTTTATTTATGTTTTCATTTCATAAAGTAGTTTAAATCCCCTTCCTACGCTTGCTGCACCAGATAAGCAACACTAGTACGAGTGAACATACTTGTCATTCAGGCACTGACCTGCTGTAAATACAAAAGCGAAGGAAGACTTAAAAATGATACTACCCTTCCCCCAGCCATGACTTTCTTGCTGCAACCTGTGGCTCTTTCCCATCAGAACAGCTGGCAGATTTTACTGCTGCCATAGCAACCCTGCCGTCAGTCCGTTGGCTTGGTAACATTGCAGCAGGAAGAAACGCACTTCACGTCTGAACTGTTCTTAGACTCACTGAGGTATTTTTTCAGGTTGCATTCCCAGATCCTTATTTACTCTTCAATTTAATAAATTTTGCTATGAAAAATCCTATACAGTCCTTATTTGCCAATGAGATCAGGTCATCTTCTCTGGAATCTTGCAAAGAATTAATATCCATTCCTTGCAATGTCACAGCAGCTGGATCAAACCTCTGCAGAAGCTTCAACTGATCAAGTGACAGTCCAGCTCCCTTCATGCCTTCTCCTCCAATGTGAGGCTCCTGTTCAAGTAACAAAGAAAAGCAAATTATTGCATCTGTAAAATTCTTAAAGGCCTTAAATGTATTCTGCTGAGTATATGCAGAACACTTAACTGGTAATGTAGACAAGCTAGGTTTGCATCATTCACACCAGGTGGGATTCAGAAGTAATGTGGCCTTCTTTTCTTGCCTTCATCTGGCCACTATTATACAAACATATATACAAGGTTCAGAGTACTTTGAGGAGGTGGTGGTGCCTCTCACCCACTTCAACCTGTCGCTTAGAGCACTTGTTGATGATGAGTACACAGGTCTAAATCAATTCATTACTCAAAGGACTGAAACATCACATGAAAGTGTTATCACCAGACAGCTGGTCCAAAGGTTTTAGGTTGCCACTTTTAAATGACGCAGCACTTCTGTGTACTGACTAATAGCTGTGTACTGACTAATAGCTATTAGTTAAGTCAAAAATAGTTATTCCTTAGCTCATTACTAATATACTCAGTAACAGTAATAAAAATACTTGGATTCTTCACATTGAGAACTTCAACTGCAGAGACTGAAAGCCCCAGTCCAGAATACTTTATTGCCTGAGGAGGCATCATTCTGGCAAATGATGCAGCAGAAAAATCTGAACTTCAGATTTTTTATATGTCATGTAATAAGACTAATAGATAAATGGGACTACTGTTACATGTGTATGTCTATGAGGCAGAGAAAAAAAGAAAGCAATGCTTAGGTATCTGAATTCAGGAGGTGACATTTGGCATAAAATCCTGGAGAGGAGAATGGCTTAAAATCATAGCCCTTTTCTCAGTGTTTCTTGTGAGTAGCCTTGACTACTTTTTATTTAATACACTCCTGGAAGAAATCTAATTCTTAGCTGGATTTGCTTTCAATGCATTCATTAAGGAATAGAAAAAATGTACAAAAGCTGGCACTGCAATATCAAAAGTAGATCTCCTTTGTCAATCTAGTCTAATGTAGTCTATAATGCAGCCTGCAGCAGAGCATTTTGTCAGTCATCACACTTTGCAAACACATGATCTCACCCAGTCAGCACATGATGTGAGTTAGCTGCTTAACCACATACTGTGTGCAGTAAAGCTGGGCAGCCAAGAGGTTGCAGCCTGATTCTTCTCTTCCTTTCCCTCAACAGGATTTCAATGTTTTCCAGGTAAAAGACAAAAAGAGTTGTCTATTGCAAATTGAGAGAAAAATAACATACAAAGGGAGACAAGAGTAGCAACTTGAAGTAATGCAGTAGAAGGATGGAAAGGTAGAAATCTATGAAAAACAGTATTGC